CTGCCCACAGGGGGGGATTTAAAATGACAACTTTTTCACAAAAAATTAACTTTTTCAACTTAACTTTTGAAAATGTTCCGGAAGGTCTGACACTTTTATATATATCTTAAATTAAAGCTAATGTAATGTACTTTAATTTGAAAAAAAAAAATTTGACCTCTGGACTTGTCTTCATGGTGAAAACGGCTACCGAATGCTATTTTTGTGTGAAAATACTCGATTTTATAATTTACATTATTTACTTTAAAGTGCTATAACTTTTTAAAAAATATATGGATCAATACAATTTTTTATGAGAAATAATATTTATATCCCTTTTTTATTTGACATACTATATCTTAATCAGGATATTAATAAGGAACTAGCTGATCATGTAGCTTTTGGAATAATACACCAATTTTTTAAAATTAAACACTATCTAAAGATTTGCATCGAAGCGTTTATTTTTGATAGTGATTTTAATCACTGTCAGATATTATTATACTTGATCCAACTATGCCACGTCACCATTGTGCCGCGACCCCCCTGTGCTGGGTTTTTTAATTTACGTCTAGTGAATTAAATAAAGTATAAATTTAGTAATTTTAGTGATATTTTAAATAATTTATTATTAATTAATAAAATAAATATTTTAAAATATAAATCAAGCTGTATGAATGAATAATTCAAAATATTAATTTATATTATTACCAAAAATAATAAACAATCGTGGAATCTAAGTGTTTATCAAACGTACACGTTTGTTGATTTTATACAGTTATCAATTATTGAAATTTTAACCATTTACATAATAAAACAATAGAACCCGTCCGTGGCGGCCCACAGGAATGCTGCTCGGGATGTTAAACATCCATTATGCGTGATATTCTTTTATTTTTTTGGGGCCCTTTGTAAAAAATTTCACTTAAAAAAGTATTGATTTTATATGAATTTATAGGCATAATTCAATTCTAATAAAATGTTTGATTTATAAATTCAACTTGTGTAACTAAATAAATATACTAATTAAAATTTAGGTAATATTTTTAAGATGCCAATAACTGTACACTTTACCGTGTTAATAATATGTGTGTAGCTCCAATTTGGATTTAGAGGAGATCCAACGGTCGTTTTCATGCGACGACGGTAAACACCAAGCTGCATATACGTTGTTCGTTATTATAATATATCTACCATATTATACTATACAGAGTGTTCAGAAAGTAAGGAAACAGGTCAATTATTATAAACAATGAGAACAATAGAAATCCGTTTCCTTACTTACTGAACATCTATAAATAATAATAATATATATTAATTATTAATCCACTCCTATCATAATTATGGTGGAATATAATATATTCTCACCAAATCATATTATGTATATTATAATTTTTTGGAATTTTTTTAAACTTTGTAGTTTAAGGACGTCTTTAAGGCTGTTCCTTTTAATTTTTCAATGTTTTATTATATAATAAGATGTTGAAACTTTATAAGTAACTGTATCTATTATTATTATCACAAAGTTTAATACATTAAAAATATATTTAAATATCATATTTTTTTTAATATTAAAACTCCTTAGATTTATATAAATAAAATACAAAATTTATTAAACATATAATTATATTCTATTCTTGAGATTAATTAATAATATTTTTACTGGATCGCATAGCTGTGATAAATGTCTTATTCGATTTATTTTTCATAAATGTTCAATGTCTTTATTTTGTTTCAATTTTTGTGCGTTGGTAATATATCTATAACTACATCATTATCTAATTTGTAAAAACAAAAATAATTTTTATTTAAAAATATTATAGAATATGTGAAAACTTTAATTTTAAGTTATTTAAACAATTGTTCTTTTATAAAAACGTTTTCCAAAACGTATACTACAATTTAAATTAGTTATATCGTACAGCATTTAAAGAAAGAAATGATCTATTATTTATAGAAATACTGTTTCAGACAATGAATATTTAAAAATTCTTATTTAATTTTTCTTATAATTCTATGCTTGGCACAATTATGAAAAATATAATATGGTAATGAAAATTTATATACAAATCAAACAATACTTATGAGAGCTCTATATGATAAATTCAAAATGACATAGATATCCTATTAACTTTTTTTCTTATTTTAACTATACTCGGTCAGCCTTACATGAAAAATAATTATAATTAATTTTTTAATTTCTAAGTTATAGTTTTTATACATTTATAAAATATATGTATTTATTACTTCTATAGAATAATACATTAGTAATGTAATATCTGATAATAATATAGTAATATTATAAGAGACTTACACACTAAGCGTTTAATAGCACACATTTTTAAAAACGTGAGCACCGTTTATGACCAATCTATAAATGTTTTGACACGTTTTCATAAAAAAATTAACATGACACAAGCTACTGTAAAATTACAACAGTTTCGCAGTTCCTCAAAGAAAATTTGCTCTATTTTTATTTAGATATAAAATAAGTGTATCAATCGTTTTAATTACTATTTATAGTAACTATTATAAAAATTATATAATAATATTTAATCAAAACTCAAAAATAACTAAACAAGAGTCTTAGGGTCGTATAAATAAGGCGAATAATTAAAATATAAAGTAATTTAGACACTATTCAAAAAAATCGTGTAAAACAAATAAATTGACACGTCGGCGGTGACGGTTAGACCCAAACTATCTTCTATGATAACTACACGGGTGGACAACAGCCACCTGATAAAGATAATTTACAATAAACATTACACAAATAATAAATATTACAAAAGTCGGCGCCCTTCCTAACATATTTGACACTTTCCAGGAACATCAATCACTAAAAATTGTATAAATAGTTAGAATTGAAACTGATGCGTAAATTTTTTTATTTAAGTACCTACACACATATAAATATTTTTTTTAGTATAATTAAATAAATAAAATTCGAGTACCACATCATCGAGAATACTTTTTCTCGATTAATTAATCGAATTAATGAATTAATGAAAACTATAAAAAAAACGGCAGTATATAACAAAATTTGTCAATGATGGTTGAAAACTTTGATAGCTCATAACTTTTAAACTGGACTTTGCCAACAAAAAATTGTTATATATTTTTAGTCAGTTTAAAAAACTGAATTAATTAAAAAAAAATTTTGAAAAAACTCGATGGGGTGGTAAAATGCATTTAAGCCCAAAAATCAACTACTTTCTTACGAATTTTATAAAACACTCACGTAAAAGCTTCTATCACATTAACCAATTTAATACGACAAAAAATATTAAAAGAATCTCTCCAGTGATTGTCAAGCCAGTGTTTTGAGATATAAGAAGGCAATTTTTTTCCATAAAAGAGGAGTTCTCGTTCAATATTCACACACATGAAATCTACGTCAGTATATGTAAATATTTTGCCCATATGGCTTAGTTAATTAGTATAAATCTATAATATATATAAAGGTGGACCTTATTTATACCAAGTGATTTTTCTTTAACCAAATTTGATGCCAAGTGATCGGAATTTTGTTCTATACAGAATATAGAAAATATTAGTGAATTTTGAGCGTCCTGGGTCAACCCCTTCACGTGCCTCAAAAGGATGTAAAATTGACAAAAAGATTTAGGTATTTAGTTTTTGTATATATCTTTTTAGTTATTATAAATAGAAAAAATTTCACAGAATTAATAATGCAATAAACAAAAATGTAATAAAAAAAAGGTCTTTACAAATTTTTTGTAATATTGATTATTCAACGTTTAACTAATAAAAACTGTTGTAATTATATTTTTAGGTTGGATACCACCTAAAGGCATTAATTGTTGAAACCAGGTGCTTACCATTTGGCTAGATCGATGTACAAAGCTATTTATTGCCTCAAAATGTTTTTGTTCCAAATACAATGTCGTTTCATTGCATTTGAATTGAAATCATTAAAAATAATATATAATAAAAATTGATCACTTGTGGCTAATTAATTAAGTAAAATTAAAACTATATTAAAAATATTATTAATTTAAAAAAAACTAAAAAATATTAAACTCAAAGCCACAAAAAAATTAATGAAAAGTCGCGGATATGTATTTCGGAAACAATTTTNTTAATGAAAAGTCGCGGATACGTATTTCGGAAACAATTTTACCATTATCAACGCTAAACACATACTGACACCCCGACTAGAAAAAACTCCCTTATATACCCCTAGTGACGTCATCACTAAGTAATATTATCACATTTTGCCAGTTTACACAAGTTTAATAATGAATTTTTCAGTGGGCCAAGATCCCAATTAATTAAATTGTTTTTATTTTTAAACATTTCTATTGCTTCTCTGATATTAAGTTCTTTGTAATTATTTACGTTTTTAATTAGTTTTATGGTTTTAATAGAGTGNGGTGATAGCGGATTTCCCAGTCAAAATGTTTTTCAGTTTCAAAATAAATTTTATGAGCAAACTGTGGGCACAGCAATGGGAAATCCGCTATCACCATTTTTAGCAGAACTTTTCATGAGTAGGTTTGAAACAAATTTAAAATACACTTATGGTGATTTTCCAAAAATTTGGGTTAGGTATGTAGATGATATTTTTGCAGTTATAAATAAAGATTTTAATATGGGGGTTTTCATACAACATTTAAATTCTTTTTACCCATCGATTAAATTTACATATGAACAAGAAATAGAGGGAAAATTGCCTTTTTTGGATTTATTAGTTAAAAGAACAGAGGGGGAACTAAATTTTGAAATTTATCGGAAAAACACACACACGTTCAGATACATTCCGAACACATCGAACCACACCTGGCAACACAAATTGTCAGCTTTTAATAGTATGGTTTACAGATTAATTAATATTCCGATGAATAAAATAGATTATGATAAAGAATTGGTGGTTATAAAAGAAATAGCTAAATTTAATGGGTATAACGAAAACATAATTTTGAAATTAGTCCGAAAACAAAAGTGGAAAAAAGAAAGGAGGGCAGCTAGTACACTCTCCAGCGAGGGGGAACAAAAAGTAATTAGATCACCAATTTTATTTTATCCGGGCATCTCAAATGGATTAACTAAAATATTTAAGAATTTTGGTATTACTTTGGTAACATCTAAGAGTAATAATTTAAGAGATTTATTAGGTAACCCTAAAGATAAGGTAGATGAAGGGGGGAAATCAGGCATTTATAAAATACAATGTGAAAGTTGTAATAAATGTTACGTAGGACAAACAAAAAGAAATATAGGGGTCAGGTTTAAAGAGCACTTAAGAAATATTAAAAATCAAGAAATTGAGAAATCTCCAGTGGCCGAACATTTATTGACACATAATCACTCTATTAAAACCATAAAACTAATTAAAAACGTAAATAATTACAAAGAACTTAATATCAGAGAAGCAATAGAAATGTTTAAAAATAAAAACAATTTAATTAATTGGGATCTTGGCCCACTGAAAAATTCATTATTAAACTTGTGTAAACTGGCAAAATGTGATAATATTACTTAGTGATAACGTCACTAGGTGATAAGGTCACTAGGGGTATATAAGGGAGTTTTTTCTAGTCGGGGTGTCAGTATGTGTTTAGCGTTGATAATGGTAACATTGTTTCCGAAATACGTATCCGCGACTTTTCATTAATTTTTTTGTGGCTTTTGAGTTTAATATTTTTAATATTTTTTAGTTTTTTTAAATTAATAATATTTTTAATATAGTTTTAATTTTACTTAAAAATAATATGTTGTTTTGTTGTAAAATTTTGGTTTATGGCACCTAATGCTATTGAAGCTCTATATAATGATATTTTGTTTTTAAAAGCACTTGATGAATACAGATCTAATGATGTACAAGTATCTTAATTAGCTATCAAAAAGTTTGTAAACCATTTTTGGTACCTTGGAAAGGAAACTTCATTATTGTCTATTTTTGACAATCGTATTCATTTAAATATAAAAAGACGTATGGCCAATCATATGGTTGACTACATACATGACAATAAAGATGTTGAATTTTAAGGAGAACCCCAAAAAAAATTAATTTAAAAAACGGAAAACGTTACTGATTTTTTAAACAAGGTGCACCATTTAGTTTACTATAGCCGAATTCAAAAAAATTTTTCCAAAGGTTTCAAATCAGTACATTTTTAAATGAAAAACCAGAATGTTGGAGCACAAATGAACATTATATCAATAAAAACATTTTTGTAAAGACTTAGCGGTAATTAATGATGCAGAAGATGAGAAATAAAGCTAATGGAGTAATTTAATACAAAATTTACTAAAAATGAAAATCTAAAACAATACACTTTACACTTAATCAACGGGATCCAAAAGAATTCTAAACACATTTTATCTTCGGCTGAACATTTTTGGTGACAAAATAATACATCAATACATAAGACATATTGGTATTTATCTATTTTAGTACACAGGTAACAGATTATAATAGTTATAAGATTACATCGCATTGTGTCTATTACTTATTGATGAGCCATAACTTGGCTTGACTGAGTACTAGCACAATAATATTATAATCAAAGTTTGAATTAACCATAAATATTCTCCAAAGTGTCTCTCCACTTTTCGAATAGTCAGTCTGATCTTAGCCGTTTTGTCAAAAGGGAATAGCGCAATCTATTGGAGTGTAGAACACTAGTGTAATCTCATGTGTAAGAAACTTAAATTGAGCTTGCATCTACCCTTGATGATTCTGTGGGCGAATGAAAAGATGTAGGCCATTTGTAATAGTATTTATGTAAAAGGCACTTTATTATTGAAATAAAAATAAAATAGTTTGCTAAGATTATAAAGATATTGTGTATTGTCAATATTATTTAAAAAAACTAAGGTGGTCCTAAATAATAACAGGTATTTATTAATAGGGATGAAAAAAACGTTTCTTTTAATTCAATTTTTTTGAAAAAAAAAAAATGAACCGCTTTTTTATATTTGATGTAATATTCATAAACTCTTATATTTTAATTTTTCTAAATAATATGTAACCAACAATGTTCATCTAAATTATTAAAAAATGTAACCTTTATATTTTGTCATTACAATGTACCTTAAACTATGTAGATAAGACATTCTAGCGCGTGTCTACCCAATACTATTATCATGTACAACCGTACATGATAATAGTACATTGTACTATGATACTTTTTATATAAGTAATAAAGAATCACAGATTGTGTCCCTTGTTAATCTCCTCCAAAATTAATTTAATTAAAATGTTTTCACAAAGAATATCACAAAAATCATATCCAGTAGTCCGTCCGCATCCAGCTCATTCTAACATCCTCTTTCATATTCACTTCGAGTATCAAGGCCTGAAAGTGAAAACTAGAATTTATTTAGAGTCCAAATTTATTCAAATTCAATTACCTTCACATTATAAAATATTGAATCACACACGAAACCTTATGTGAATTAATTAAAGGTCTATAAAAAATTATTGCTGAAATTGCTTCAACTATTATACGCTAAGATATGTATAGTCTATACTTTTATAGCATTCATTCACACAAGTATTCTAACAGATCATGACTATTCGTAAGTTTAGTTTAAGCCTGTTCTTGACGAATCATCTTATCCACATCCTGTCAGAGATAATTTACTTTCTTTAGTAGTAACTCAATCACAAAGAGTCTCGTATATTATATTGGATAATACTAGTTGACGAAACAACGGCGACTACTCACCTACACCAATTTAACAATTACTACCTCTTCTGACTAACTCTATTCTTCCTTTTTGAGTTACTACATATTTCTAAATATTAATAATTTTTTTTTGTCTGTACCACTTTTTCTCAGCTCCTAATTGATTTGTATTACTTAATTGACAAGACAAAAGATCCCAAAAGTTTTTTAGTCGAATCTATGAATAACTTGTTCAACTAATTTTAACACAATTAATAAAATATAAGAATTGTATATAGAGTGATTGATTAACTATGTTTTACAAATTATGGCATAGTGAATATATAGTGAGACATAGTTAATCAATCACTTTGTATACATATAATGAACCAAATACAAAAAATGGAATAGGGATAAAAATAGGCGAAGTGATATAAAAAAAATAATAGAAGTAGTCGAAAAAAGTGACAGAATTAAAGTCGTAAAACTAATTTTCGAGGAAAAAGTGTTGAATGTAATAAGTGCTTTTGCACGTTGAGTAGGATATGATGAAATATACAAAACGTTTTGGAGAGAGATGGATGTGGTGATAGGTGGAGATATGAATGAACATGTAGTAGATAAGGGGAGAGGATATGAAAGAGTACATAGAGGGTATGGTTTTAGTGGAAAGAATGAGGTCTGAGAAAGAATCCTGGATTTCGCAGTGTCGTATGATCTTGTGTGTGGTTAATACTTATTTTAAAAAGAGAGAAGAACATTATATAACTTACAAGGGTGAGAGTAATAGACCACATATTCATTATTTTATGTCGAAGAGAGAGAGAGAGTCAATTAAATAAAAGATTGTAAAATTATTCCAAGTGAGAGTGTAACTTCTCAATTTACGAGGTGTGTTCAGAAAATAACGGAAATTTTTAAATTTCGTGGATTTGGAGAGTTCAATTATCTAAATTTTTTTTTATTGCTTTTGCATCACAATAATACACTTGACCACACATCATTGCTTGTCCGTTAATTTTTGCACAAAAACAATACTATAACAATGCTACGCCTCCATATTTGCCAGACATAACTCTCTGTGACTTTTTTCTAATCTGAGAACCGTCGTTATACAACCATAGTTGACATTAAAAGCTCATCGCTGAATGAGTTGAAGGCTCATGATTGGATTTGATGATTGGAAGAAGTGTTAGCACAATTGTATAATGTCTAATGGGGACGGCGTTGAAGTATGTAAAATAAAATAAAAAATATGTATTTAATTTTTTTTATTTTAAAATAGTAATTTTTCTAAATCAAAAAATTAATTTTCTTTTTGACTTCACAAAAATACACTAAATTTTAAAAATAGTTAAACAAATAATTTTTACAATAAATTTAAATTATTTGAATATAATTATTAATCTTATTAGATAAAACTTAAGTATATTTTCAGAAAAATATTTGTTAAAAATTTTATTCTTCATTATTATTGGCTTTTGTTTTACCATCGTTTTATTTTCCTTTTCATCATTTACTCTTCCTTTATTGATGTTTTTTTCCCAACTTCTTGATTTATCAAGTCCATATTCTCGTTGGCTTCAAAATAATTCACTGGAAGTTTTTCTAAAAATAAATATATACTTAACATTCGTTAAAGAAGAAATTAAAATTTTCTTTTAACCAATTTTTGTTTAAAAGCAAATTAGTAGCTATTTTTAGTTTAATATCGCATTAGTTTTAATTTATATATTTTTGATACTTTGACTCACAAATATATTTATGAAGAAATTGTGTACAATATATATTTAGATTTTATAGATTACAATAGATGATTAACATTTTTTATGGTGGAAACTTAAAAAATTAATATTAATATTATTTATATTAAGTTAACGTATGTTACATTATTTTTTAAAAATAAATTCAAATAAGTAGCTGATTGTTCTTATAAGTGAAGATTATAAAACTCCTATAAACGAAATAGAATTGAACCATAATATTTACATACTTAGGTACAACAAGTTATGTAACAACTATACAGATTGATTTTTTATCATAACTTAATTTATTCACACAATAAATATAATTTAAACATTTTTTTTTTTTTTTTTAATACCTATATATACATATTGTTCTTAAATAATTTGGTATGTAATACTTTTTAAGTTTATCCCTTATGCTTTCTAATGGTGTCAACTTTGTTTTTAAAATAGGAATACATATGACTATCGACAGATATGTTATCTGTATTACCCCAGTTGGTGTATTTATAATTTTTAAACACAATAATGTGCCTTAAGACTACACATTAATCATAGTCATAATATGATAGTCATAATTGACAATAAACGCTTTGTATCTGTGATAACGACGCCATAAAAATCAAATAAGCTACTTTTAATTGTAATGTATATTATACATGTGTATTAATACAAAATTAGAGACTTTAAAGTTGTTTATCTAAAAAAACGAATAAAGTTATGTTAAAAATTCAAAATATGTGTTCCTATTTGAAAAAACAAAATTAACACCAATACAAAGTATAAGACATAAACTTATAAAGTATTACTATCAAATAATTGAAGAATAATATGTAATTAAAGATGTCCAAAAATAAAATGTTTAAGTTATTTTTATTCTGTAAATAATTAAGTGAGTTATGATAAAAAAATCAATCTGTATATTAGGTTTTTATTGAAATTACCAATTCTTCTAAATTTTTCAATATTTTCTTGACATATTTTACAATTTGTTAATTGTTTTAGGTCATAATCTCGGAAACAGCTCTTACAGATAATATGTTTACAAGTTTGAAATATCGTTGATGCCTTTTTTTGGAGACAATGAACACACATTCCATCTAAATCATCATTAAACCATATTTCTAAAAAATAATGTTCAAATGTATACAATAGAAAACTAATATTCATACTAATTGAGTCAGTTTAATTTTTAATATGTTTTTTAAAGCAAATTTATTACTCAACTTCATAAATTTCTCTAAGTTTTTTTTTAATATTTCTAGAGAAAGAATTACTAACCACCAAACAATGAGTCATTGTCAGAAGATCTTAATGATTTATTTTCTAAAAAAAAAAAAATTATTTAGATTCCATTAACAAAAATAATCCAAGATTGGTTATTATTTTCTGACGATAATTACGATAACTATAAAAATGACACCTTATCTCAAATGGAAATTCTTCTTTTTCTTCGTCGTTCCTTATCATATCTTCACTAGTCACTACACTTATCCATCTGAGCATTCTCATTTCTGCTATATGCAGAAATAAGCATTCTCAGCTCTACTTTTTTGTCAACCGCCAAACACTGTGAACCATACATCATAGCTGGTGTCACTACAGTTTTATAGAACTTACCTTTCAGCCTCATTGGAATTCTTTTATCCAATAACACACCAGACGCTGCTTTCCACTTCAACTAACCGCATTTACTTCTGTGTCTTAAATTCTTTTCAATTCTATCGTTCTTTTGCATAACTGATCCTAAATACTTAAAATTTTCCACCTCTCCTAACACGTCTTCGCTTATTGCCACTCATATCATTTCACCTACCTCGCGTTCAACTTGGTCAAATTCGTACTATATATACTCTATCTTAATCTCTTTTCTTCGAGAGCTGATTTTTACATCTCTAACCTTTGATTAATTTCCTCCCTATTTTCTCCTATTAACACTATATCATCAGCGAACAACATGCACCACGGCACCTCTCCTTGTATTTCTCTAGTGATTTCATCCATCACTATAGAAAATAAATAAGGGCTTAAAGTAGAACCGTAGTGCACTCCTACTCTTAACGTAAAATCTTATGTTACATCTCATATGCTTTTTACAATAGTACAAGTGCCATCAAACATATTCTCTATTAAATTAATGTACCTTTACGAAACTACTTTTTCATTAATACCCACTTTAAAACCTCTTTCGGTACTCTATCACACACTTTTTCCAAATCAAGGAAACCATACACGACTTTTTCTTCTTTTGACTATTTTATTTAAAAAATCCTTTAACTACCTTATGACATCACCACCTAATATTTTCCATAAAACTACTGGCACTTCATCTGGTCCTACTGATTTATTCTTTTTCATTGATGCCACATCCTACCATACTTTTTTCATACTAATTAAATCTACCAGTTCCACAAGATATCCTCTAATATCTCTTTTGTATACTCCTCATTTAGTAACTGTTTAAAATACTCTTTTCACCTTTTTTCAAATCATCATTACTCGATAGCACCCTTTTATAAACCTTACATAGTGATAATCTTTAGACCTATTTTCTCTTACTTTTTCAAGTCTATTGACTTTTTTTTCGCTTTCCTTTGTTCCTAGCCTATCATAAAACTCATCAAATGGAAATTATGTAAAAAAAAATGGAGACAAACTAATGAATTACACTTTGTTCTGAATCATTTAAAAAAAAATCACGTTTTAGATGTGGTATAAAAAACCTAATATTCATACAAGTAGAACTACTTCAATTTTTAAAATGTTATTTAAAGCATATTTACTACTCAACATTTACTTTTCACTAATTTTTTTAAACATCTCTAGAGTGTTAAATTACTAACCATCAAACAAGGAATCAATGTCAGAAGATCTTGATGATTTATTTTCTGAAAAAAATAATTATTTAGAATCCATGTAAAATAATAATACAAGATTTTATATTATTTGCTAATGATATTACAATTGTGGTATAAGTAAACTTTAATCTGTAAAAAATAAAAAATATCAAGTATTAAAAACTCGAGTTTGGTAAGAAATTCTAGGGGCTAGTTATTTTTTTATTTGAGAAATATTAATCCCACTAAACATTCTCTCAGCAATTTCTGCCAATGCTACTTAAAAAAATGAATAAAGAATCTTTCGTGTAATTTAATTTATCTTATACAGATTTGACATTTACTAAAAAAAATTATTAATAAAAAATAACATTTTTATAGTATAATACTTTTATTTTATTATTAAAATTACCTATGGCAATAACCAGAGTAAAAGTAAAAAAGGTAATCAATGCGGTCTTCATATTCTAAAAATTTTATAAGAGTAAATTAAATAATTTAGTAAATAAGTTAATTTACCGTTAAAAAATCAATTTTAATAAATTAACTAATTTACTTTGTGATACAACATGTAAGAAAATGTTTAAATAATGGAAAATACTTTTAAAGCATTTATATATTGTTAATTCTAGAAAAAATTTTTTTTTTTATTTTTTAACATTTAAAATAATACTTAATATGTCATTTTTATTTAAATATAAATGTATAATTTGTTTAAACTTGCTTAATGTACACAAGTTACAAATTATAAAATTCAAGTAGTAGTAATAGTTATTTTTTTATAAAAGTAATATATATGAAAAAATATATTTGATTAAACAGTTTTAAATTGATTTAAATAATTTTTTTTATTAAAAAGGGATAATAATAAATTATTGTTAATAAATATGTTATGCAATATAGTCAACATTTTTAATTTAGAAACTAAATAAAGAAATATGTTTAAGAAAAATATACTCATAAAATTTAATTTAAATTAATGAAATACATTTTATTTGGCTTATAAATTTACAGAACTATAAATAATGTAAATAAGTTAAAAATTAATAATAATGATAAATTACTATTATATTATTGTCTATACCTTACAATTTATTATTCTTAATATTTCAAATTTTTTATTTATCACATAAATGGCTGAAATAAACCTTTTGATCAGTTCATTGATCATAGTTATGTAATAATTAAAAAACGGTAGCACAGTGGGGTCGAGGCATAGATAGGACAAGTATAGATGATATCTGACAGTGATTAAAATCACTATCATAAGAAACGCTTCGATGCAAATCTGTAGATAGTGTTTCCTTTAGAGAAATTGGTGAAATATTTTAAAAGCAACATGAACTCTTATTTCTTTAATTATATCCTGATTAGTAGTTCTTTGATTTTAAAATATAATATATGAATAAATACTAATTATAGTTTTTAAATTTAGTATGAAATTGTGAGGCCAGCTATGATGTATGGTTCATAGTGTTGGGCGGTTGATAAGAAAGTAGAGCAGAGAATAAGTGTAGCAGAGATGAGAATGCTTAGTTGGATGAGTGGAGTGACTAGAGAAGATAGGATAAGGAACGAGCATATAAGAGGAAGTATAGGTGTTGCGTCAATCGTGGATAAGATGACAGAAAATAGACTTAGATTGTTTAGTCANAAGGTGTTGCGTGAATTGTGGATAAGATGACAGAAAATAGACTTAGATTGTTTAGTCATGCTATGAGGAGAGAAGAATCGGAAGCTGTAAGAATAGTTATAGAAATGAATGTTGAAGGAAGAAGAGACAGAGGAAGACCAAAAAAGAGATGGAGGGATGCTATTGAATGCGATTTGAGGACAGCTGATGTGAGCGTAGAAGATGTGGGAGATCGTGTCAAGTGGAAGCTTAGGATAAGGGTGGCCGACCCCAAGTAGTTGGGATTAAGGCAAAGAAAAAGAAAAAGATTACCAGAATTTCTGGTGGCAATTGACATAATATGATTGTTGTTTAGGAATGTACAATTTAGCGTTTAGTTGGGTTTAAACAATATAGCGTCAAATCAATTACCTACTCTATCGCTTGTATAATGATATACACTACACTTTAATGTCATTATACATATTTTAATTCAACTTTTAAAAAAACATTTGTTTGGAAATTTTTTCCACAATTTTTCCTTTGTTGACTGGCCTAGATGTGAATTTTAAACTTGTAATTGAGCTAAAAGTTATGGTAATATATTCAATTTATTTTACTATAAACTTTCATAAATCTTTATCAAAAATTTTTCATCAACTTTAAAGAACCAAAAAAATAGGTTAAAATTGAAAATTTGGACTGATTATTTTTAACATATTAAAAATCAAATCAGTAATAATTTGAAAACAAATTTTTTTTTCTTTTAATTATTATTTTATATATATAATTAGTAATAATATAAAAAATTAGAAGTGATAGAAATAGTCTACTTGCAGATTTGAAAACAACGCGAAAAGTTGATTTAGAAAAGTATATTTTTGCTTCTGATGAAAGTTCCTTGTAGTCCAGTGCATTTTTTTATAGTAACAAACAGTTTTTATTGAAAATTATTGTATCAAGCCCTTTAAATTTTTATACACGTAAAAGTAAAGCAAAATATAACTTCTTTATTATTTTTATAATTTCTCCGTTTAAATTACAATATTAAATATCAATTTCATACTAAATTTAATAATTATAATTAGTATATATTCAAATATTATATTTTAAAATCAAAGAACTACTAATCATGATATAATTAAAGAAATAAGAGTTGATGTTGCTTTTGGAATAATCCACCAATTGCCTAATTAAAACAAAAAAAAAAAAAGTTTGTTGGGAATTTTTTCTGCTATTCTGCAAAATTACTCCTTCGTTGACTAGAATGAATCATTAAATAGAAAATTTTATGAGAATTAAAACAATGTTATTTTTAAGATTAATATGCAGTCAGAAAGTTTTATAATTATTATTTATTGTAAATTTATCAGAAAAACTCATTATTTTTTGCATTTTTATCGTAATAGAACACTTAAATAGAAATCATAGTAATCATTTCTAAGTAATTTTTGATATTTAAAAAGATTCTACTATTGAAATATCCAGAACTGAATTAATTTTAATGATTTACTTTAACTAAAAAAAAAAAAGTTAATATTTTGAATCCCTCTTGTGGGCAGGTAAAGGGTTAGATTTAAAAAAAAAAACCAAATGATAGATAAAGACATGCATCTATATAAAAAAAAAATTATACTGATTTGGTCATTTTTGATAAAGTTTAACAGTTAACAAAGTTATAAGTTTTATACACTGTACTACAAGGAACTTTCATCAGAAAAATATAATATTCTAAATCAATATTTCGAGATATTTTCAAATATGCAATTAGACTATTTTTATCACTTTTAAGTTTTAATATTATTAAAAAATAGTATTTACATATAAAAAAAAATAATTAAGAACAAAAAAAATTATTTTAAATTAATACTGATTTTGATTATTAATATGTTAAAAATAAGGAAAATGACATATTTAACCTATTTTTTTAATCGTTTAAAGTTGATTGTTGTAAATGTTTATAATAAAAAAAAATAATTTATTTTACCATAAATTTTAGCTCAATTGGTAAGTTTGACATTGACATCATTAAATAGAATATTTTATGACAATTAAAAAAATTGTATCGTTAAGATCAATATGCAGTCAGAAAGTTTTATAATTACTATTTATTGTAAATTTATCAGAAAAGCTCAATATTTTTTTGCATTTTTATGGTAATAGATAACTTAAATAGAAGTAATAGTAATAATTTCCTAGGAACTTTTGTTGTTTGTTGAAAAGATTCTATAATTGAAATATTGAGAACTTAATTAATTTTAATGATTTACTTTAACTAAATGTACCAATCAAAACAAAGTTGTTAAAAAGATTTACTCAATTGAGCGTATTATAAAATTTGATTATATTTGTAAAAATCAATTGTTAATTCAGGAGAAAAAACAATAATTTTTTTTAGAAATGATTTATATGTTACCAAAAAATGTTGAATATTATAGTCTAGTAGTAGCACACACAAATACAGTAAAAAAATTATAAAATTACAAAGTAAAATGATTTAATTTTGAAGTTGAAACCTATTGTATCAAACTTCATTCGTTAATAAATATTTTGAAAACATTAGAAATTAATGATTTTAATTGTCTTTATGGAGAACATGTAATAACTAACTGTTTAATTGATAAATTAAAATTTTTTTTCAATTTTTGAGGGTAATATCTTCAACCTAGATACGAATTGTAGTCATTTGACGTATCGTTGAAAAAAATAAATAAAAAATTTGTTACTTATGAATAAATACACTGGACTACAAGAAACTTTCATCAGAAGCAAAAATTTACTTTTCTAAATCAACTTCTCGCGTTGTTTTCAAATCTGCAATTAGACTTTTTCTATCAGTTATACATTTTTATATTATACTAATTACATATAAAATAATAATAAAAAAAAAAAAAAATTGTTTTCAAATTATTACTGATTTGATTTTTAATATGTTAAAAATATGCAGTCAGGAAATTTTATAATTACTATTTATAGTAAATTTATCAGAGTAACTCAATATTTTTTTGCATTTTTATCGTAATAGATAACTTAAATAGAAATAATAGTAATCATTTCGTAGTATCTTTTGGTGTTTAAGAAGATACTACAATTAAAATATGAACTGAATTAATTTTAATGTTTTACTTTAACTAAAATAACCAATAAATGATACGAATTGTAGTAATTTACGTTATCGTTGAAAAAAGTAGGTCAAGTTAGAGCAGAGAAAATAAATGATAGTCACAAAAAAATATCTTCTCAGCTTTGCATCGAAGCTAAAACTTAAAATATAGTAAAATAATTTTAATACGAATAAGAAATTTCTTCTTGCAAGGGGCGACTAAAGTGATGGGATCCTTGATCTTTATTGAAGTTATTGAATCTAAATTAGATAAAAATCAAACGAGTTAAAAATTTATCTAACTTAAAAAGAATTAAGAAAAAATGCAAAAAATTCATTGTCAGAGGCGGGTTGGAACCTCGAACCCCAAGCGTGTTTAACATAAATTTACCAACTCGGCAACCGTATGTCGCTACTGTCGGGTGAAAAAGTTTGCTATTTAAGCTAGTTCAAATTTCAAAGTTATTTTTCTCGACTTAAAAGAAGCAAACAAATTTAAATAAGTTTAACTTTCTATACTATATCAATTTTAATTTATATAATATTTATGAAAATCTGTACTCCCCTTGTCAGGTATTTTAAAATAAAATAAAATACNAAAATTGTGTGGATCCATAAACTTTTCAATAAGTTATAGCATTATAAAGTTAAATATAATATAAATAATAAAATCGAGAATTTTCACACGAAAATAGCATTCGGTAGCCATTTTCGCCGTGAAGACAAGTCCAGAGGTCAAATTTTTTTTTTCAAATTAAAGTATATTACAATAGCTTTAATTTATGATATATATAAAAGTGTCAGTCTTTCCGGAACACTTTCAAAATTTAAGTCGAAAAAATTAATTTTTTGTGATAAAGTTGTCATTTTAAATCCCCCCATGTGGGCAGGTAAAGGGTTAAATGTTCACAAAAATATATTAAATGATAGGTATATATCTAAGGTGTCTATTAAAAAAAAAATTATATTGATTCGGTCATTTTTAAAAAAGTTATGGCAATTTTAAGTAAAAAAAACCCAGCACAGGGGGGTCGCGGCACAGTTGTGACGTGGTATAGTTGGATCAAGTATAATGATATCTGACAGTGATTAAAATCACTATCAAAAATAAACGCTTCGATGCAAATCTTTAGATAGTGTTTAATTTTAAAAAAATTGGTGTTTTATTCCAAAAGCTACTTGATCTGCTGGTTCCTTATTAATATCTCGATTAAGATAAAGTATGTCGAATGAAAAAGGGTTTATTAAAAAATATTATTTCTCATAAAAAAATTGTGTGGATCCATAAACTTTTCAATAAGTTATAGCATTATAAAGTTAAATATAATATAAATAATAAAATCGAGAATTTTCACACGAAAATAGCATTCGGTAGCCATTTTCGCCGTGAAGACAAGTCCAGAGGTCAAATTTTTTTTTTTCAAATTAAAGTATATTACATTAGCTTTAATTTAAGATATATATAAAAGTGTCAGACCTTCCGGAACATTTTCAAAAGTTATGTTGAAAAAGTAAATTTTTTGTGAAAAAGTTGTCATTTTAAATCCCCCCCTGTGGGCAGGTTAAGTGTCAGATTTACAAAAAAAATATACCAAATGATAAGTAAAGACATCAAGCATCTATATAAAAAAAAATTATATTGATATGTTCATTTTTGAAAAAGTTAGAGCATTATTAAGTTAAAAATATAAAAAAAAATTATTTTACAAAAATCGTAATTTTTTATTAACTTTGATGTCAACTTTCACCACGAAGACAAGTCCAGAGGTCAAATTTTTTTTTTTCAAATTAAAGTATATTACATAAGCTTTAATTTAAGATATATATAAAAGTGTCAGACCTTCCGGAACATTTTCAAAAGTTAAGTTGAAAAAGTTAATTTTTTGTGAAAAAGTTGTCATTTTAAATCCCCCCCTGTGGGCAGATAAAGTGTCAGATTTACAAAAAAAATATACCAAATGATAAGTAAAGACATCAAACATCTATATAAAAAAAAATTATATTGATATGTTCATTTTTGAAAAAGTTAGAGCATTATTAAGTTAAAAATATAAAAAAAAATTATTTTACAAAAATCGTAATTTTTTATTAACTTTGATGTCAACTTTCACCACGAAGACAAGTCCAGAGGTCAAATTTTTTTTTTTCAAATTAAAGTATATTACATTAGCTTTAATTTAAGATATATATAAAAGTGTCAGACCTTCCGGAACATTTTCAAAAGTTAAGTTGAAAAAGTTAATTTTTTGTGAAAAAGTTGTCATTTTAAATCCCCCCCTGTGGGCAGATAAAAGGTCAAATTTACAAAAAAAATATATCAAATGATAGGTAAAGACATCAAGCATCTATATAAAAAAAAATTATATTGATATGTTCATTTTTGAAAAAGTTACGGCAGTTTTTAGTAAAAAAAATTGAAAAAATTTCGAAAATTAGCGATTTTTAAATTTGTAATTTTTTTGGAGGTTTCCCCCATTTACGGGGAACGAGGGAAATTTTTTCAATTTTGAAGGGTAATGTCTTCGACTAGATACGATTTGTGATCTTTTGACATATTGTTCGTCAAAATCGGTCCAGTGAGAACTAAGATTGAGCGTTCACAGACACAAAAAAAAAAATAAATAAATAAATAAAAAAAAATAAAACACATCTTAGTAAAACCAATACCTTCTCAGCTTCGCATTGAAGCTAATAAATGAAAAAATATCGAAAATTAGCGATTTTTAAATTTGTAATTTTTTGGGGGATTTCCTCCGTTTACGGGGAACGAGGGAATTTTTTTCAATTTTTGAGGGTAATGACTTCGACTGGATACGATTTGTGATCTTTTGACATATTGTTCATCAAAATCGGTCCAGTGAGAACTAAGATTGAGCGTTCACAGACACAAAAAAAAAACACATCATAGTAAAATTAATACCTTCTCAGCTTCGCATCGAAGCTAACAGTTGTATGGTTTATTATGATACAGTGTCAGTTTAACAAACAAATAATTATTTTAAAATATTAATATTTGAAAAAAATATCTACAATTTAATATTAGTAGAATATTTTTCACAAATACAAACTTTATTCATTTTAATTATTTTTTGTGATAAAAGTATAATAGTAGAAATAAATAAAATATAATTATTTTCTTTTTGATAGGTACATTTTTTGAAAATCCTACCCTTTATTTGTCCATAAAGTGGGTTTAAGTAGCAAAATGTGTGTGTTATATTGTATATTTGAATAATATAGATTTAACTTTTGGACATATCATAGAAATACTGCAACCTTTATATATAAAGGTGTTCAGTAAGTAAGGGAACGGGTTTTTATTGTTCTTATTGTATTAACAATTGATCTATTTCCTTACTTACTGAACATTCTATATATTTAATCAAATTAATCATAATTAACTATAAATTTAAAAAAAAATTATCTTGATGACTTCTTTTCTATATGTAACAAACCCCGAAGTTAAACAATAAATGCTATTTTAGTTTTTTAACTGTATCTTTTCATATTGTTGACAATTTTAATTAATTTTTTTTCAATTAGTGTCTATACTTTAGGTCAAACAGAACAGACATAGATGGATGAGGGTTTTAACTTCCCTCAAATTTTAAGTATACCAAGAATACTAAATTTTAAAGTTGATAATTATAAATATTTAATAAAAATTTGCATGTGGTCTGATAAAATTATTGAATTAAAAAAAATTGGTGAGGTTTGCGAAATTTTTAGGAAAATAATTTAAAATATATAAATCTAACAATGACAAATTTTTCGAAAACAATTTAAATTAATTCATATGTTTAAATCGCACTTGTTCATATTTCGAAGAACAATGTAACATTGTGTGTTAAAGGCGTAAAGTTTTAACTTAAGTGTGAATAAATATATGTAAAAAAATTTAATCCATTAACTAAAGAAAAACATCACGAATAAATAGTATTTGTAATGTTAGGTTTTATTCGAATAAGGGGAGTACTGCAGGAGATTTATTAATAAAAATAAAATTTGGAAGTTGGCTTTTTCGTTGTTAAAATATGAAATTTCTATATATAAAATAATTTGCTTTTATAATAAATTATTAAAAAACCAGTTGAACTTGCTCATTTCTTAAAAAAATATACCTAATAATTATCCAAGAGCATACTTTAGGTCAATTTTTTATTTTAAATATTTATTTATTAATAATATTTGATATATCAATTTAAATTTTTATGATATACCTAAAATTTCTTAAGGCTTCAGGAGTAAATTATATGTAATATACTTTTTAAGCATAACTTAGATTAAGCTAAATGTATCGATATACTCCATTAAATAAATTTTGTATTTTCTAATTAATTAATCATTTTTTAAATAATTAATATTGATCAATGAGTTACTATCAATTAGTCTCAATATATTAAGTAATATTTATATAAAGTTATAGGTTTTTATAGAAAATAATTTCTTTAAGGGAAAAAGAATCCAGCATAATGGAGACTCCAGTATAGATTGAAATTTAACAATGATAATACTACTAGCATAAAATACTTCCATGTGATTATGTAAATTGATAGCTAAAATTATCAATATCATCTATTTCATAACAATTGTAATTTTTTAGAACACTTCCCTTATTATGGGAATTTTTCTAAATTATGAGGCATAAATACAAATTAAACTAAATACGATTTGTGATCTTTTCATGTATCCATGAGCAAAATCAATCCAGTAGGAGCGGAATATTTATATTAGCAGACATAAAAAAAACATGAAATAGTAAAAATACAACCTTCTTAGTTATTGGTAAAAATAAATATAGGTTTTTTTATACAGTTATTATATAAAAAAACGTCCTGACAGTTGATATTCAGATTTTTTAATGTTAACAGTAAATATTTTTTTTATAATAACCGTTGCACTTTAAGATTGTAAGCTGTGGTTTGAAAATTAATATTGAACTATTATTAATAATTCAATTTTATAAAATCATGTAAATAATTTTAATAAAACTTTTCATTTATAAACTTATAATTTATTTGTTTTTAATTAGATAACTATTCAAAAAATATAACAAAATATTATTATATTACATTTTGAAGAATATTTTACAATATTAAGTGGTCAACTTCAGTCCAATTGATTCATGTACTAAAACTACAACATGGCCAGTAGACACAATTGTTAATTAAAATACAAAGTATTATTGTACAATTTCAGACATTTTCAATATAAAAAAAGTATAATTATAACTATTTACATTATATCTTAACAACATTATTTAACAATTTTTTTTTATTTAACAATTATTGGTTTCCTGAAATAAATTTGCAATATGAAAATTAGATAAAATTTTTAATTATTGAAAAAATATAGTATTTGTTAACATACCTTAACTACCAGTCGCTGAGCCATTTGGACCATTTGGGTTCGTGGTAAATATTTCTGATCTTATAAACGGGTATATAGATGGGTTTGGTTACTGTCACTGGAACTGGAACTTTCTTTTCAACAGTGACTGGATATGGCTTTTCTACAGGGTATGGAACGGGTTTTTCGACGGGATAAGCAACGGTCTTAATTACTGGTACGGGGTAAGGTACTTTTACTGGCACTGGATGTGGTACTCCAACAGCTACAGTTCTATATACTGGTACAGGTACAGGACGTTGGACTTCTGTGTGGGTGGACACCAATTGTTCTGGTCCATAAGCCTGAGCATAAATTGGGTTGTATGCTTGGCCATAAGCAACTCCATATGCTGGACCGTAGGCTGAAGCGTATCTGTATAACNTGAACCATAAGCAACTCCATATGCTGGACCGTAGGCTGAAGCGTATCTGTATAACATGTAAATTAAACTATATGCATAAAACATAAATGGTATTAACTTTGCCTATGTAACTCATATTCAATATCTATAAGTGATTTTTTCATTAGATTAATCTTTTAATGAACATGTTACATGTTCGGAGTGTTCTACCGCGTTTTGACATATTAAAAAACTTTTTATTCAGCAAATATTTTGTGTTACTTTTTTTTAAAAATGATTTTTTTAGTTTTGGACTGCGTTAAAAGTATATTTTTTGTCTTTAAAAAGAAAAATGTATTTTTAATTTTTTCAAAATTTTAAAATTTTAGCTATTTTTATAGCTCTTTAATTATGAAACATTTTTATGGGTCGATAACTACTTTAGGATAGGTATTTATTAAGCTATAATTATAATTGAATACAATTACAAATTTTTATAATTATAATATGGAAAAATTATCATTACTTTTCTTCTATTGTTATTGTAAATTTTGTATTAGTTATTTATTGTACTCTTTGCTCTTTTGGATATCACTTTATAAATAAATAGATATTATTCTTTATTTTAACACAAAATATTTTGTTTGAGATTTCCAATTTAAAAAGATACTATTCTTTTATTTATTACAGTAACTATTTATTTTTTCTGTTATAAAATTGGCTTAAAATAGACAAGTTGCCAAATTGTTTAAGGTGTATCGGATTACTACCGGAATCGATTAATGTAATTTTCACCATGAAAATGACATAAAAACGAACCGATTACGTGCACGACGAGCGGATGATAATAGTTTTATCAAACAGACATCGGAAAACACTGTAAACTAATAACCATAATCAGGTATGTAATAGGAAGCGACGATACGGAAAATAAATTATTCCGGGCGTTTGATGATTTTTTGTAGTGGGGAGCTGTTAGTGAAACATTTTATCACTTTCTATACAAAAACAAAATATGCAAAAGATTTTTTACGTAATAGCTGACTATTAATTTTTTACTAATATATATTATTTTTCTTGTTGTTTATTTATTCGAATTAATTGTAAGTGTGATTTAAATAAATAGTACTTTTATTAAAATCCAAAATATGGAAATTTTAGCTAAATTTTATTATCCACTCACGGTACTTAATGATTTTTAAAGAAATATTAAGGGTAAATTTTATTGACATTTTTTAATTAAGTAATTAATCAATTTGTCAAAAAAAAAATCTAGATAAAAAATGAACAGATTTAGTTCATGTTTATAGCTATATAAAATAATCACTTACCCAGTAGGTAAAGCAGCTGGAGCGGCAGCGGCAGCGATTCCAATAGCGGCAGGTGCTACATTGGCGTATCCTGCAGCGGAAACGGCAACTGGAGCGGCAACTGGGGCGGCAACTGGAGCGGCGGCGATAGCCGATGGGCCGTACGGCTCGGCTTCGTTGATATAATCGTTAGAATTCAATTCTTCACCAGCGCTGCGTTTGTTGGATTGGTGATCTACAGCGTTTACTTGATTGACTTGTGATTGTTGCGGTTCTTGGTCTTTTGGTACTTCTACTGATTCACCAGAGCAAGCGACCATAAGGGCTGCTAAACCAAAGAAAATCTGTAACGAAATTCAAAAAAAATTACATTTCACAATATAGTATTATGTACGTTGGCTGGTTCCTTTTTATAAAAAATCATTTTCAACGTTGATTATCCTTTTGAAAATACATAGGCACGATACTAACGCAAAATAAATAGAACTGTAAACTACGAAATTCAAAATGGAAATCCATTAAAATATTGAGTTTTTTAATCGAAATGTTTTTTTTGAAATTTTGGAACCGGATGAAAAATTATTTTATTCGCGGATAGTTTTATGCATTATTAAAAATATCCGATGTACCAGTTTAGAAAAATATCTGTTAAATAAGTAGACGAAATGAATTATTGAAAAACTGGTTATTTTATTAGTAATTCTTAATTAATACATTTGCGAAAAATTTATAAGAAATTTCAAGTGAGGTATCACTACTACAAACCACACATAAATTAACATATTAAAAATTTGAATATCGTGTTTTACAAGATTTTTTTGCTTAAATTATAACATGCTTAAAATCATAACGATGTATTGAATAATGAGTTACAGAAATCATATACATGCATTTTTGATGAAAAACAGTGTTGTTATGACTCTTGAGTATAGTTTTGTTAACAAAACCAAAAAGCTCGTATTGATTTTTTATTAAATTTTAAACTCATATCACACTAACTTCGTGAAATTTAAAAAAAAGCTATTACAATAGTGTGATATTAAACACTCATCGTGTTTATGAATAAATTGTATTATTGAGACTTACATGTATCCTCATGATTGAAATTAACACGAGTCCTCTAAAATCAACGGTTGCTTGTATTTAAAAAAACCGTCCCCTGGTAGGAGCTATTTAAATGTAGTAGTTATGTGTAAACCCCAAACGTGGATGTTCACTCAGTGCTGATCTGTTTGTTTACTGACTATTTTCATGCACTGGTCGAGTTATATACTCGCGATATTTACAAGACTTTCACTTAAAACGGCCTAGTCGTCCCGTTTTGGTCCCTTGCTGTAACTTAGCGTATTTTAACGACAGTGACATAATAATAGTCGCTAAAAACCGGTATAGGTCTACGGTATTTCCCACAAATGGAGTCAATGAACAAAATCCGGAATCGCCATATTTCCGATAAAAATTAACTTTGACAGAAGTCGTTTTGTTCAGTTTGATGACATAATAACTTGCTTTACGTTTGGACAAAATAAAAAATAAAATAAAATTTATTTAATACTCAAACCTACTAATATAATTAAAAAATGAAACACATTAAGAATAATATTTGTAGAGAATATAAATATATTATTTATATAAAAATTTTTAAAAGATTATTAAGTACCGCCGTTTCTGTCGCTAAGTAATTTTCAAATCAATAATTATTTGATTATCAATAATTGTATAATTTTAATTATAGTTCATTAAAGATTTTGAATTATAACAGTTTGTATTTCTATCATATCATTTTCATTTGCATGTTTTCTAATTGATTTTTTGCATAAGAGTATTGTTTTATCTTTAAAAATGGGTAAGATAACTTACACTATTTTGTCAAAGAGTCAAAGTCCGTTAAAATTTTCACCGTATTGGCAAAACGTTAAAACCAGCCCAGAAATCATCAAACATTTCCAGGAAATAAATGACAAAAAAATATATGGTCACTACAAGCGGTAAGAATACAATATAGTTTTGTTTATAATAATATAAATCGTGTGTAATTATTCATTAGATTTTTAATAAAACTATCTTTTTCTATGTAAGATTTAGCAATTAATAAATATTAAAAACTATACGAGCAATTTGTTTTTCTTTTTATCAGTAATTTTAACGACATTCCTGTTTCGCTCGAGTTTAAATTTGACAATGCTATTCCAAAAAAGAAATCATGTATTTTTTCTGATGACAGAGAAAATGACAAGAATATAAAGATTAAGTAAATTTCTAATCATAAGTAAAATTTAGTAATTATTATACACAAATTGTTTTTGTTATAATTATTTTAGAACAGTTAACTTTGAGGCGAGCTCGTATTGTCAATTAAAAATATGTAAATTAGTTCCTTTTACATATGAACATGTCTCTGGTTGCAAAGTAAATTATATTCCACTGAATCAAATTCCGTTAAATGATATGGATGCTAAAAACGAGATAATGGCAGCTAAAGATGTTATTCCTACACCAAACATCCACAATGTTACTACAGATCTGTCTAAGTTAATGCTATAAAGATATTTACCTCTTAAATTCTGATGAAAAATTTTCACAGCTTTTCAATTTTATATTATGCTTAGTCCTAAATACTTAGTTAAGGCTCAAATAAAAAGAAAATTTTATAAAAAAATATTGTATGAATTTATGGAAATAATAATCATAATAATAGTAGCGTAGTCAGAACTTTTTTTAGGGTAGCTAAAGATTTTTTTTTTTAATGCTTTCAATACATGGTATTAATATAGCTTCACTGTTCTTATTTTTTTGTTTATCATATACTTTTAAGAGTCAGAATAATATTCTGTTTATAGTAATTATTAGCCAAGGAGAGCTAAAGGAACTATAGCCCCCATTGACTATGTCACTGCATAATAAAATACTCTACGTTTTTGATTCCTTGTTAAATTTTACAATTTGACTTAATTATTTGAAAATTTATTTTTTTTTTTCAATTTTAATGGCTAATTCAAACTATAAATATATTTCTACTGAGATTCAAGCTAAAATTAGATCAATTTTAAATTTAAAAGAGTAAAAAAAATGTATAGGTTTCAAGATAATATTACTGAACAAAGATAAATAAGATTATTATTTTAATCCCCTATAAAGTTACCTATAAGAGGTAACAAGGTATTTTTTTATACAAATTGAACTATTATTAATTAGTATATTATTATGTAATAGTTAATATATTAATTACTAAGAAGCTTTAGTGTTTAATTTGATCTGATACCATTTGGTTTGTGGTGTTTTACGCTTAACACGTAGTTAAGCTTAAAAAATTAAGACAAATAGAGATGTACATAAAAAATAATCTTTGAATCATTTTAAAATTACTCTTAAGATTTCTCAAAATACGTGAACCCATCCTCTTAAACAAGTTAGCTAATGTCAAACACCAAACTTTAGACGGCACAATATAATAAATATTGAAAAATACACTATAAAAATCACGTCATTTATACGTTCTTACTTTCTACTCGCTTGAGTCGTGATTTAAAGCTTAAATGTCATACAAATGGATGAGCATTTATTGTGTTATATTATGCATTTGAAATAGCTAACTTGGATTCATAAAATATTTTATAATAATATCTCCAACATTAAATTATACTTATTTTTAATTCCAATAATTAAAAACCACATTATAACTTTTAATTAGTTAAAATATTATGATGAAACGAGTTTTACTAGGAGTTCAGTGGTTAGTCAGAAGCAAGTCAATAACAGTGTGATAACATTTAAATTCAATTATTGAAAAACTATTAAATGGCATTAAACCACGTCCAATTAGTGTTATAAAAACAGGTTATAGAAAAGAATTTTTAAGTCCCTATTGATTGTATAATTTGTTATAAGAAAAGTAAAATTTACGTCTTCTATTATTATTTATATATTATAACGGGACAGCCCAAATTTCAAATTTGTCATAGAACATAATACTAATATTTACAAATTAGTTTCAATAGTACAAATATGTATACAACGAGAAAAAAATTTTTGAGTATGGTAGAAATGTTACTAGGCTGTACAATTTTTGTAGAACAAAACAATTAGTTTTTAAATAATATTCACATGAATTTATAATAATAATGAATTTTTAATGATTAAACCAGTCATTATAGCACATACGATTATTGTATAAGCTATAATGGAAAGGCAGCGTCAGAATTAACACATTGACTGGACGATAAGAGAATTAGGCAGTTGGTGTGTTAAGCATTGAGGAATAAAGAAAAGAACAAATGATTGTTAACGAAATCAACCCTTTTAAAATGATTGTAGTCTTATTAAACCTACGTTATAATTTTACTTGCGTTATCACGTAATAAAAACATTTTACGTTTAAGTATTTCATCAGTAAAAAAAATTTAAATGCAACCAATTGTTGCTCATTTATTAGGATATATTTAACTTTTCTGTTAACGTATACATACATATATATATATATAGACATGAGTATGTTACAATTATGGATTTAAAAAACATTTTTTACATTAATATGTATTTATGGAGTTTAAACAGCTTTAAAATATCAATATTCCAAACTTCTATCACTATTTGTAAACCATTTTTGTTTTGTTTTGTAAGATATTTAAAAACGATACATGCCTCAACAATACCAAGGAACCTGTAGCTAAAAAGGCTCTTTGCGAGATTTATGAAATAAATCATCAGAAATAGATCATTTCCAAGAATTGTCAATTAATAAATACAAATGTCCCTACCCAGAATCTGCTAAGGGTAGATTCGATATGTAAATCATTTATGAAATATTATTAAATATCTTAATTTTGTCACAAATATATCCCTGGAGAAATTAAAGCTGAATGAATAGCATACCGGAGGTTTAACTAAAATGACAATGTAGTCTAAAACCAGAATTTCAAGATGTNAGCTTTTTGCGAGATTTATGAAATAAATCATCAGATATAGATCATCTCCAAGAATTGTCAATAAATAAAAGCTAATGTCCCCTACCCAGAATCTACTAAGGGTAGATTCGATATGTAAATCATTTATGAAATATTATTAAATATCTTAATTTTGTCACAAATATATCTGTGGAGAAATTAAAGCTGAATGAATAGCATACCGGAGGTTTAACTAAAATGACAATGTAGTCTAAAACCAGAATTTCAAGATGTAACACTCGTATAAAATAACATAATGCTATTCGAAAAGTTTTTACGAAATGAAATTACGATTCTAGATTTTTTGGGTCCTTTAATCATTTCCTGTACATCATCACGATTTTTGTAAAATGTTCGTTGTGTATCATGTTTGTATATTTAAAAAGTAAAAAGTAAATTACAGTAGAACTCCAATTATCCGAATTAATGGGGACCGGGACCCATTCACTGACTAATCAAAATAAACAATGACAGGTGACTGCAATGCGCCGGAACTGGATTGGGAACTCTTACCACGTGTTGTGCCTACACTGACGCCGCGGACTTAGGACAAATTTTTTTCTGATTTTTTCTGAAAGTGATTCGGATAATCGGCGATTCGGATGATCGGAGTTCGGATAATTGGAGTTCTACTGTATGTCTATATGTACGTCTATTGTGCATCCAACCTTGTGCACGCTAAAAAAACAAGCTACGCGCAGCATGACGCCGGTGATTAGATATCTTTGAAATATTTTAATTTGCATTGTTTTTGTGTTCTATTTTATTTATTACATAATTATCTAATTATTTGGAAAAATGGTATACACGTTAATGCAAAAGTTTTGACTTTACAACAACGCTGTCGTCAAATACTAAAAATCTCCCATTACTTGAAGTTTTACAATATTTAATGATGTGATTTACAGATATTTTATAGCAGAAGTATACATTTTTTAACGGATTTTAAATTTGTATTATTTTTTAATTTTCATAGTTTTAAAGATAATGCATTTCGATTTTAAACAGTTCATAAAATCATTTTTAATACAAATAGCGATCATTTCAGTTTTAGTACATAGCAAACAAAAAATTTCTGTATCAAATGTTGAAATGTCATATCTGTGAGCAATTTTAAATTTTTACCATAAAAATGCCAGTTAATTATCCACTTAACTAAATTTGAGCGGATTAGTTTACATTAAACTTGACCGTTGGTTTAATGATTTACGTCTTATTATTAAAATAATTTCAAGTTTTCTGAGGGAAAAAATATTTCCTTTTACTAATTTTTTGATCAATTCTGTAATTTATTAGTAATTACCACTTAAACTAAGTATACCACCACAAGAAATCTATGTGAAAATACTTAAAAAATCGGTTTGAAATATTTATAAGAGAGCTTGCTTTATAAGGATTTTTTAAGTGTTTTTTTTTTTTTGATACAAATTTAATAATTAAATAGAGTTATTAATTTTGAATATTTATAAATTTAATTGCAACCCATAATTTTCCATATAATTTGAAATTAACTACTTAATCTTGTTTATATAAAACTATATTTAATCAAATATTACTCACAAACAAATAAATCATTATTAGTTTTTTATTACAACTTTTAGTTTATTAAAATATGTTTTTTTGTTATTGTTGTTTGGAAATTATTTTGCGTAGTAGAAAATAAATTTGGTTACTAAAATTATAAATAAAAACGAGCTACTAAAATATTTTAGCTATTATGTTAATATTAGAGTAGCTTCTTGAAAAATAAAATTTTCAAGGTACTTAAATAACTTTTCTTATTTATATTAAAATTCTAAAGTATTAATATTATTAATATATTAATTGACATTTTTTGAATTTCTATAATATTATCACAATAGTGTGCTCAATTTTAAACACAAGAAAAAATGTTTACTCTTAGTTTTATTAGATATCTTAATTAATATTTTGATATTTACTTCATAAAAATCATTTAAACAATTGTAGTGTAGGAAAAAGATAATTAAAATCAGAGCGGTGTGAAAGCAAGGCCCTAACGTTATCTATTTTAGAATACTAATGTCGCTGTTGAGAAAAGTCGTTACATTATACCCTGACCTTTGCCAAATATATATAATTTTATTAAAAAATACAAAATATTATATATTTTTAGATTACAAAGTTATAATTATTTAAATTAATATTTTTACCTAGCATCATTTTGATTTTTTGAAAATAAAGACTACTCTATAGCATATATTTATTTATACGCACAACTGTCTTTGATTACATAAAACGGTAACTTAAAATTTTAATTATAACATATAATAATTTTAATTAATAATAATACTTTCAAATTAAACGTGTTATAAGCAAGAAAATACTAATTATGTAAAATGATAGTTTGGTCCATAGGATTAAGTGTATTACTGTACGATATAGGGATGATCTAGTTTAATTTCCTAGTATACCATATTTGTTTACTTTTAATCAAAACAAAAAAATATGTATATTAATTTGATTCACGATTTCGTTACTTTTAACGTTAAAATGTATTTATCTTAATACTATAAATTAAAAATATTATGTCATTAAATAAATGGTTATGTCCACGGTTTAAGTATTATTTTTTTTTTAATCAATGAATACGTGCTATCATAAAATCAAAGATAAAATTTACTTGATTCAATAAATCGATTTCATTAGCTCGAAATCTTAACCCTTTTCTCGTTAATTTTAAGACGTTTTTCATTGATTTTAATAAGTATTTTTCTACGTGGCCTTACATGGTTTATAGTTCAAGTAATTTATTTATAAAAATATGTATTTCGTAATTAGTTGTCTATAAAATATGAAAAAGATAGATTAATAATGAAAGAAAAATGCAGTTAATCGATTTTGAAAGTATAAACTTTAGTGACTAAATAATGTAAGATTACAGTGTAATCCCATAATGTGCACACGTTCCCTTCTAATATCCATTGTTTGATACTAACATGACAACAATAAAAAAAGATTGCAATATTCGATAATTATATCAAGATCTTCTGTAGTATATAAAAGACAACATACCCTGTCTTTGTTTATAATTTTTTTTTAAATACATCATCTGCACGCTATAATTTTCTATACGAACAGGAGTTCTTCAAACATGTTTCAATTTTCAGTAAGTACAAACATAAACCTTTATTTGATTACATGAAAAATAAAAACAAATTTTAGAGTAAATCAAATTTTAATCATATAAAATAAATAATTAAGTTTTTTCCCTGTATTAATACAGGATAATAAACTTTTTTCCGTAATTTTCGATCTATAGTATTTTTGTCGATTTATACGTTATTTATTTTCAAAATTTAATGTCAATTTAAATGTCGAAATTCATGTTGATTTCTATATATATATTTAAGTTATGAGCCTGTAAATCTAATATCAAAACGTTTTCAACAAATAGCTTGAAAACCTTTATTTAACAAATTAATTAAATCATAATACACCATCATATTAACCAGTAAAAATAATAAAAAATATTTCGTACCATTACTCAATTATTTTACAATAAAACGGTACTAGAAAAGTATATATATAAAAAAAACAATATTATTTTGTAAATTTTTGGGGAATTTCCTGTATTTTTTGTATTAACAACAACTTTTTTTTTTATCTTTATTCAGAATGCATAAAATTAGTATGTAATAAATTCTTATAAAATTAAAATTAAAGTTACAATAATATTCCCATTAATCAGTGATTAGCTAATGCTGACAACTCTTCCTTTTTTTAAACGATTACTTTATTTTTATTATTATTACGTCATTACACTAAATTACGTTGTACTATTATATATTATAAAATTGGGTTTGTCCTGTTATAATTATATAAATAAATAAATTCAACTTATAAACTTAAAGCTCTTTATTTTACTAAATAAACATTTGTATACTAAATTTTATTTTAAGAGAATATAATATTTTTTCTTAGAGAATAATATCCAAATTGAGTTACAAACATTTCTAGACTGAACATACCACGTTTATCATAATTTTAGTACACAATATAATAGGAAAATTATGTCATCATTTTATATTTATATTGTATTGTATTTTATTTTTGTAATTTTTACTTGTATGTATGATCATAGAAAACTCTAAATAATATTAATTATATTTTACATTATAATGACTATTTAAATGTATAATTTTTATAGGTTATCTTTTTGATATCTATATCTGTGACTTTTGGTGAAAATGGAGTGACCAATAAGGACAAACGACAATCACAACCGTATGCTGTTGAATCTTTTTCATCTCTGCCCTTGCCTTCCTCAACTATAGTCCCAAATAACAACCCTAGAATCCCATCTAATAACAATAATTATATACCTGTTTGTGCAGCACAAATTCCAGCACCATATTCTTTTTATCCTTCTAATTATAATGCTGACACATATATTCCTCAATATCCTACACCACAAACACAATTCCCTTCTTATCAACTTCAGTATCCAATATACCCACCACAATACCCTACTTACCCATCTCAGTATACTACATATACAAATCAATATCCTACATATCCCTCACAATATCCTTCTTATCAGCCACAGTACTCTGGACCAATCCCGTATACATACAGTTATTTCAATGGACAATTAGGCAGTACAGTCAATCCACTACCAAATAGTAACATCGCAATTTCATCAACCAAAAAATGAATCTTCCAATTAATATTTGATTCAATTATAAGTACTAACAATATTTTATTTAAATAAACATTTTTGAGAAATAACATTTAAAAATAAAACAATATCTTCAAATCAGATGTCAAAATTTGATTTTTTTATTATCCTATACTAACTAATGGTTTGATTTTTGTTAACACAAAGTAAACTTATAAAGTTACAATATCGTCCTTGCCTTACGTTTCTCGTGTTATTTTTTATAATTTAATGAAAAATACAATATTTGTTTACATTTAAATTTCATAATTAATTTTAATTAAAAAAAAAAAGTTTGTTTAATTCTTAGTTAAAGAAACAGAATAATGAAATCATCATTTTACTTCATAGATGAATCAAAAACAATTTTTTTTTTAATGTTATTCTTTTTAGCGCCTTATTTCTAGTCAATATATTATACATCAAGACGTCTAAATTAGTATAATATTTCTTTGTTTCTAGTCATTATTATTAAAAATATTATGCCAACAATTATGATTATTACAATTATAATAGTATTATAGATTTAGTAGATTCCCATAAAAACTCCAATAATTTATTATTTTACTATAAATAATCGTGAATATAACTGTTTTCGAAGTATTTGTTTTTGTTTATTTAAATGTACTAGACCATTTTCTGTACAAATTATTAATAAAAAGTTTAGAAAAAAATATTAACTCAAATACAAACTTTAAATTATTGAATCCATATTTTATATCATTAAAAATTTCTCATAAACATAAAGAAATGTATCCTTTATACTATAGAAATAAGTAGAAGATACAGAATGAAGCTAGGTAATTGTATAATGGGGTTTGACATTTTAAGTCAAAAGAACAAATATGATTTGAGGTTTATATATTATATAAATTAATTCATTTGAATTCACAAAACATTAGCTTAACAAATTTTTTGATTATTATGAAAACATTATGATATCAAAAAGAATGTGTTAAATAGAGGCCTAACAGCTTTTATTAATTTGATAATTTTCATTTCTTTTCTTTCAAAATAAATCTATAAAATATATTTTTATTATAAAATTAAAGATAACTATTACATGAAAATTATTTATTAATAAATATTACATAAATTCTATTTTAGTAGGGTTTTTTACTCTATTAACAACTACACATAAGAAATATATTGTGGTAATTGTACATATGCATTTAGGTGCATTAATATACTCAATAATTATTGTACATTGCTTTTGAGTTATAGATATAAAAGATATGTTTAATTTTATTACTAAACATCTTCAAGAGCCAGTTTTATAGATTTTACTTTATAATTATAAAAATTGAATTTGAAGATTTCAAATTTATTTACACATATTATAATAGAATTAAAGGATGAAATATTCATTAAATTCAAATTAAAACTTGTCATTTCAATTTAAAAAAAAGGTTTCAAATTACGTTTACAAAAATCTCATTTTATTCTATCATTCAAATAAAATGAAATCAAATAATATTCCTCATATAAAAATCATCTTACATTTATTAAATCTAATATTAATTGTATGAATCATTGATAATCATGATTACTTTTATTCATTTTTGAAAATTTATACGGAAAGAAATGAAAACAACTTTAATAATCTAATATTTGATATCCAATTCTTCAACATGGACAACTAAAAATCTTTAATTAATTTTCAATGCATCATTGTTTGGAGAACTTATTAATGATCTTAAACAATTATTTTTTTATAGGGACAAACAACAAATTACTTAATCAAATATCAAGATTGTCAATAAACCAATAAGTGATGATATAATTCTTACAAATTATGGTTTAAAATTTTTACTATGTTATTAAAGCATCTGAATAAAGGAATAAAAAAATTTAGCTTGAATTATTTTTCCGTCATTTTCTATAATTTAAACTTTATAAATTTTTAATTTTAGAAAATGTTTAGTTATTAAATAAACTAACTATTCAATAACCCAACATGTAATAAATAAAAAAAAAACATTTTTAATTAAAAGTTTTATTATGAGTTTAATTGAATACATTCATATACCATAATTAGAAACACAAATGTTTGACCATCATTTTAATAATATTTTACAATCTAATTAGTACTTATAAAAGTGCTGGAGTGTGGTAAGCTAAAGGAGCGTGGTAAGGTAATGGGGCTGATAAAGAAAGTGGAGAGTGATAAGATAAAGGAGCATGGTAAGAGAGTGGAGCGTGGTAAGATAATGGAGCATGATATGCAGACAATGGGTATGAGAATGGAGCGTTATATTTAAATGGAGAAATAACAGATGTCGGATAAGCTAATGGAGCAGCAGGGTATGTGAGAGGTGCGTGGTAGCTGGAATATCCTAATCCAAATCCATAGACTGAACGCTTATCAGTGGTTTTGAACTGTTCAGCTTGTTTGGCTTCTTCAGCAGAGAATACACAGGCCAATAGGACGGATAATAAAGCAACGACGAAAAACTGCAAAATATATATAAAATAAAGTTATTATTATTTGAGAGAATAATAATAACTTATAATAATAATAAATAAAGAATTATAAAACTGATAATGCAAATATATTCATGAAAACGAACAATAGAGTTTTCAATAGTTTTAATCGGTTTGAAATCGGAGTTCGAACAATATTGGCATAATTTCAAAAATATCGAATTAGACATTTATATAAAAAAAATGTTCGTATACACTTAACTAAATTTACACTTATTAAAAATAATAGTAATAACCACCTTTATAAATAATTTTAAGATAGATGATATACAATATTTGACATTTTCCCCCAAACGTGTACCAATTATTATCAATTGAACTATTAATGATCATACAAAATACAATTTACTATATCTTAGATCCTTCATTTAAATTATATTATTTTAAATAATAACTTCGATATAACGATATATCATACAATGTATAAACAATATAAGTAAACAAAATATTTATTTAAAAAAACATTTTTAGCTGACGCTAATTTTATAATGAACCATAAAATAATTGACAACTTACAGATTTCATGTTGATGATTTTTTTGAGGTCGTTCGATATATGTGAACAAATGATGTTGGTATTGATGTGTTGCTGTCAAAAGCAAATAATCTTATGATTTCATTTAGAAAACTGTCGTATGTTTTATAGTCGTGCAAAAACTGGACCATTGAAGACACAGGCTAAGCGATACGGTATGTAACCGCCCCTGAGCTTAATACTCAAACGGTATATCAAGTTTGTATGGACGGCAAACTGGTTATTTAATACAGTGAAACTGCCCCAATTATTTTAAACCCAAAAAGATAACTCAATAGTTAATAGAATATACGAAATAGCAATATTTTATCGACTTTTTTAGATCACAACATTTAATAGTGATGATATATTGAATCAATTAACAAATAAAATAATGCGACCACTTGAAAATCATTATAAAAACTACATAGTTACTTAAGTTAATTAATTAATTTAATGTTACACACCCAACTATAATAGTAACATTATTAAACATCATATGAATTATAATTAAAATGACAATAATTTATTTTAATCTAAGCTAATCTACAATATATCTTTCTTATAATTTATAAGTGAAATAATTGTAGAATTTTAGAAAAATCATACGTTGTTTACGTTTAAAACTAACTGATGTATTATTTTTTTAATTAAATATTAAAGTTATTTTTGCAAATTGAACTGTATATGTTAAAATATAACATTTTATAAAATATAAATTTTTAGAAAAAATTAACTTGATTAAAATTGCATTCTATAAAGATATCAGTTTATTACTCTACTATTAAGTATTAAAATAAAACTAAATATTAAGTATTATCAAATGTTTTTTATAATAAATTATGAACATAGATAAAAATAATTATTACTTTTATAATTTTTGATATAGTACTAATAAATGTATATTAAATCATATATAAATAAGTCAAATACACCATAGAACTGTACTTTGTGTCGTACTTTTACACGGTTCTTAAAATAAAAATCAAGAGTAAAGTGAAGTAACATGACTGATACTTGGTATAATAAATAACATAAAAGATTATTACTAATAACGTTTAACAAATGGATTCCAAAATATTTTTGAAAACGAATATTTGTTTGGGAGTCAGTTTAGTTGCATAAAAATAATTATAAGGAGTGTAAAATTTTGATAATGCCCTATATTTTATATAGCAAAGTAAAATTAGGACGATTTTGACCAATAAAAGTTATCTAAAATTATTTGTAGTGTTATTGAATACATAACCTATATTACTAATTACTAGTTTTGAATATTTATATTATGATTTATTTTTACATTTATTATCAATATATAAAATTGTTATTTAGTAATTTACTAAACATTTAAGAGCAAATAACAAGAGAATTTATTTGTTTTCTAAAATTTACTTTTTCCATTATTTCTTTTTAGTAAAAGTAGATGATAATTTAAAACTTAAAGATTTACTTCTTTAAAAATTAAAGACCAACCAACCCTTTATTTATTATCTATAATCTATTCATTTTAAAACTTTCACTATAATAATACCACTATATTTTACTTATGTAATCAGATTCGAATATAAGGAAACAATATTGAAGAATGTGCTTTGAAGTAAAGTGAATACAAATAAACTTTAAAATAAAGTTTTAGAATTGTCTAAAATGTAAATTAAAAAAATATATTAACCTTTCTCTATGTTTGAACTTTGCTATTTTTTTTTTAATTAAACTATTATGATTTGGTATATATTCGATATAAGCTTTAGTTTTTTTATCTACATAACAACGTTTATTACTGAAATAAATAAATTTTTTTTAAAGTTTTAAAAATGACGAATATTATGTCCAAAACAAAATATAGTTGATATCCAACTCAGTATTCTAAAATAAACAAAAAGTATTAGTAAATCATAAATAAGACTTTAATTTTATTAATTTTAGAATTTATAAAAGTTTTTTTTACATAGATAGGAAGAAAGGTGCAGAAGAGTGTAACTTAATGATGAAAATAATATAACCCACACCTCGTCTCCAGTCTACATTTAAAAATGTTAATAGCTTATGAAATACAAATTCAAAACTTGCTATCGAACAGTTATCTTTTTATTTATATAATTTTCATTATTAACGTTAATAAAATGTGTATATTGTTATTTAAAAAAAATAGGTTGGTTCTATTAAAGGAATAATCCTTAAAAATATATATTATCATATATAAATTGAGACATAAATAATATTAAATAAAATTTAAAAAATAATTCTCAAAATCATTATTTTAGTAAAAATTTAATGATTAAGAATAAATTAATCACCTCGTATGTCAACTTTGTTATTTTTAATGTAAACCGAATTGTTCACTTCCAACCCTGTCCTAAATGTAAAATTATCTAGACAATTTAAAATGTTTATTTAATAACTTGCAATACAAATAGTATTTAGTACTCTATTAAATTAAACGAGTAAAAATATGTTATACAATAATAATTTATTTTTAAATAATACATTCGATGTAGTACTTCGTTATTATATTTTTGTTTCTATATTCTTATAAAAATAAAAACATAATAACTTATTACATCACAACTCATATTACAACTTGATTGTTCTAGTTTGCGGCGAACGCCATAAACGAGCGATTTCACCAAGAATAAAAAATAGCATTCGATTACTTCATAAACCAGCCTATAATAATAGCAATCGTTATTTTTATAATACTAACTTTCAGCTAAATTTCACTAATTAAAAAATTTAATGATAAATGTAGTTTACTGAATTTGCCAATATCTTTATAAGTATAAAATTGGTTTTTTCTTTAAAAACAACTAAGTCTACTTATATAAGATAACTAAGTCATTTAATAACAATTTAATAAAACATATTTGAATAGAGTAAAGGATTGCTTACTGAATTTTTCTTTTTCGTGTTAATTCTTAGGGGTTAAAAATAATGTTGTTAACAATGTTAATTTCATGAATAAAGAAATAAAAATTATATAGAATAAAACCACAGTAGTTTTACTATTTAAAAAGAAATATATAAGAAATACAGAATAAGTAAGCAGCATTATAGTCTATATTAATAATTTATAATCATTGAGGATACTAAAATTTTTCTAATTTTATCACATACACAAAAAAATATGATAAAATTTATTTCGAATAATACATTATTTATTTTAGTTTCATTAAAAAAATAATATTTTTTTTTAATGGTATTTAATTTTTTATTAAAAAAAAAATTCAATATTGATTTTTATTTTTATTTCTATGGTTTTTAATATTTGTATTTTTATGTGTTGTTTTAATATGAAAATACAGAGTGTTTTGTTTAAATGTCTTATGATGAAAATGACGATGCAGGACCCTCTGGAAAACCTACAACAAGCACATCTATTAACACTAAAATAAAAACAGGCACATTTATAGATATCGATGAAATTTTTTCAGATTTATCTCACTCAAAAGACTTGGACTCATTGATATCGGACGATAGCTATGAAATTATTGCTCTTGCTCGTTTTGTCGAACCCAAAAACTCAGTAAAATTAGAAAAAAACTTTGTGGAATTAGCAAAAACTATTTCAAGTGACTCTAATGTTATTACTGATAACGTTCAATATGAAGAATGTCCACCATCAATAAAAAGCCCTACTTGTCCGGCATGGCTGCACGCTAACCAAAAGTTACCTGGGTCATACATAGCGTCCTATCCGGCAGCTGAGTCTGCATTATTAGTGTTAACTTTTTGTCCAGATAAAGGTTTTTGGGCTTGGTTAACTTGCATAGTGGCTTTTGTGACAAGATTCATTACGAGTGGATTATGTTTTTCTCTATTTGGATTGAATGAACACCATTTTGGTTTCAATTTTTTTTATTGCCATTTATTAATTTTTAATTTGGTATCCGCAGTAACAGGTATAAATTATATTCAAAAGGATAGGGTGTGTCGATTTTTAGAAGACTTAACCCTCCAAAAAAATAATATATTATATATAAAAACTTTTTTAGGAAGAAAAAAATTAGATTTGCCCTTAATAAAATAATATAAGGTAGTTAATTATTGACCACCTTATGTGATTACATTGTAAATATAATAGTACTGTTGTATATTTTTTTAAGTACCATTAACGGATGTATTTGTGAACGTACATGGATATCGGGTAGTTCTGACAATAGGTGGAGGATTCTTGATTTTATGGTCATTGTTTCTGACAATGGAATATAGATCGATGTACAAGATAGCATTAGGAATATTAGGAGGTATGCTAATTGAAAAATAAAAAGTTCATGTTAACTTACACATTAGTCATTTAGGAATTGGTGCAGGGACAATGAATACCTCATATACACTACTTCTATCCACACTGTTTGCAAAACGGAGGCATTTAGTACATGGAATAATACGCAGTGGTGAAATTTTAGGTCTAATTACCATACCAGAAGTAATAAAAGGCTATTTTAGTTATCATGGGAATTACGCTTCAATGTTTTACACCAGTAAATTTCTTTGCTAATAATAAAACCGTATTTTTTTTTAATTTTGTATACTTGCAGCTTCAACGTTCATATTGTTGGTAATAAGCTTGTTTATTGCCATACCGTATCCATTTGAGTTGAAATTATTTGACGATGATAATGAACCTTTTGGAAACAGAAATATAGAACAGTTAAATGCTCGATTAGCAGCTTTTAACTTTCGTTTATACGATGAAAAGTATCCCTGGGTGAATTATCCTACAGTTAATCAGACAATTGGTATACGACGGTAAATTGAATACAATTACAAAACTGACGATATTATGACCTATATAAATATTATATAAGCCATTTTAATGTACCAAAACAATGAATTTTTGCGTTATAAAGTAAATAAAATTATACGTCCATTTTTCGAAAAACAATAAAAGTAAATAAAAATTCAAAACCATTTTTAATGAAAAAAATATATTATTCATTAACATGAACTTTAATTTCAATACAATTTAATTATAACTTGATATCATCTGTGTATGCCAGTCATAAGCATAACTAGAATATTTTTTTTTTTGAAAGGGGTCAATATAAATGGATTTTCTGATATTTTGGGGGGCTAATCCTTCAACAAGTAGCTAAACCTTTTATTTCCCTACCGTCTCTTTAGTTGCATCTTTAGCCATTATTATAATAATAACTTAAGTATAATTACTGAACCGTATTTTAATAAAAACAAAAGCTAAAAAATGCAAAATATTGAATACAAATTAAGGTTATTTCACTTTTCAGAACAAACTGACATCCTGTTTATTTATAGTTCCTACTTAGTGTTATTGACAAAAAAAACTCAAAGAACTAAAAGAATGCCAGATCTTCGTGAAGAAATTAGAGACAAAAAAACTGATGACTGCCCTATTACACAAAATTTTACCAATTACTTTTCAAAACCATCACCAAGTGGTATAAGACCTTTATACAGAGACGATATACACTTTGAAGGAAATATTAATTTATTTTTTTCTTTGACTGAAAAGGTTTTAACAATTTAATAAAATCAGTAATAATTGGGGAATTGATATTAACTATAAATAATTATTTAAACAGCAAGCTATTTTGGATTATCACAAATCTGTGAGTAGATTAATAACTGTGGAAGACATCTATAGACCATACAGAAAAGCTATTTGGCAAGTTACCAAAGATCCCATCAGACGATCTATACTAATAGTTTTTGATGTTCGAGGAATAGAATTTATGACCTATGTCATTCTTTTAGGAGTAGACGGAATTGTCAATTTCGTTTTTAATGCAGTTTTAACAAGTTACCTAAGTAAATTTAAATAAATAAAAATATATATTTTAAAAGATTAATCAATAATTATATTTTAAGTGTTGACCGATAAGATTTACATGCATACAACACATGATAGTTTTATGCTCATTTGCCTAGGACTTTTACTTGGTCAATTCATTGGATACAATTGGTGGGAAAAGGAAGCGATAAATGTTTCTTATAACGTTTCATTCCTGTGTGTATTTGCTAGTGGCTTAGCTATCCAGTCAAATGTGCAGTCTCGTTATAAGATTGTGAAAATATTAAGTCTATTGATTTACGGTCTATTTACCGGTACATTTCATTATAAATTATTTTTAACTTGCTACGCATCTATAGTCATGCTTAAATATCCAGAGAGAAGGGCGCGGGAGACTGTAAATTATCAAACTAGAACTAAATTTTTTAAAAAAGCTTACAATGATTTTATTTGTAATAGTTTTTAGAAAAATAATAATTTGAAATATATAATATCGATTGTGCCTTTTCGTAGTATTTTTTATACAGTTTGACTATTATTTTTATTGAAACAATAATTTTATATACTGTTTTTATTTTTTAGAACTCTTTTATTGTAGTATGAAATCCATTTATTGTTATCGAATCAATAAAATGCGATCTACTCAATTTCACACATATGTGACACTTGTACGTGGAATTGCATCTGCTATCTCATTAATGTGGATTGGTAAGATAAACACAATTAACAGATAATCTGATGGATTGAATCAAATTATCGTTTAATTAAACTATCCGTTACTTCAATTATTCTATTGTATTCATAATGTCATATTACAGAACAATAGTAACTAATTTATGAACTAAATTCTATTTCAAAATTCTAAAAAACAATTGTATGTTATAAATGAAATTCGAAACTTGACTTTTTTTGTCCCTCTAAAACAATTGGAATTCACCATATTAAAAATAGAATATCAATAACCAAATTTAATAATCGATTATTATATAAAATTTCGTTTTTGTCTAAATGTTGATATGTTACTTTTATAAAATGTTCAGTAGAGCAAATACAATATAAAAACTTCAATGATATCTTATGGAATTGATATTTTTAAAGTGAAAAAACAAACTTTTGGTAAAATTGACATATAATTATTTGGAAAATGACGCATAACTTTTTTTAACATATCAGCTTTTGGATATAGGCCACTAAGTTATAATTAAGGATATAATAAAATATATTTTTATTTTCATTCTGTCGACGCTTTAGCACATCCAAACTATACTGTGACACACAACTTGTCCCCATATTGGTTCTCTCAGCCATAATAAGGTTGTGTAAGGTCGATAATTGGTGTAAAAATCGTTAAGGCAGAGCCGAACCCAAATAGTAAGGATAGAGGCTAAGACAATGATGATAAATAAAATATATTTTTATTATTTCCAACCTTAAAAAAATTTATAAATGCCATTCAACTATTATTCATTAACCTTGAAGTTTAATACAATTTTAATTTTATTAATCTGTAGGTAAAATGATACAGCCTATAGTAAACACAAAAGAAATCACATCATTTGGTAGTAAGACATTATTATGTAATGCTTTCTTTTTATTTTTTGGTCATATGTACTTGGATTACCGAAAAATTAAATCATAATCTGGAATTAAATATATTTTACATATAAGATTTTCATGGTTAAATGTTATTTATAAGATAGTTAAAGACAAAAAAATATATACCTTAGTAAAATGTCTTCATGTGTTTGTCTAAAAATTGTATTTTAAGGAAATATTAAATAAATCATCTTTAATAAATAAATAATTTTGTTTTCATTAATACAAAGCAAGTGCGTATTTAAGATTTTTTTAAGAATGGCAGAAGAAATTTAAACTATTTTTGATAACTTTTTTTTTTTAACATACTTTTTAAAGTATTATTTTTAATTAAAAAAATTGATCGTGTTGTGAGTTTTAGGAGTTAACGCTTTTTTTTAGCTCCCCTTTCCTCTTAATTAATATGTTTCTGTTTAAAGGCGATTTTTCAAAAAAAATTATTTTTTACATTCTAAGAAATTAAAATTAAAAAAAGGCTTAGTCAGCCTAATTGATCACTTTATTTTTTATATGTCTTTAAAAATTATGGGTATGGCACAACTTCTGCTTCATAATAATAATCTGCAATCCCCCCAGAAATCTTTACTCATGAGTCACGTCTGAGTAACAAAGTTTGTCAATTTTTTTTCGGGAAAAATTCAATAATTTCCTCTTAATTATTTAAAAATAATAATAGTTATAATTTTTTAGAATTTAGGGGGAAATTTAAACTGAGTGCATAGGTCGAACTACGGGCAGGACTGACTAGTCCATAGCCAAGGCTAATTAGCTTCTTAGTTTGAAATAATTATTGTTCTTTATTATTAAAAAAAAATGTAATATTTATTTTAATAAATACAAAATGGATTTCTGATTTGTAAATAACTCCTATCACAATCATACAACAATTCAATAAAAAACTCCTTCGCAATTCCCTCGTAGAATTTTAACATTATTTTTGCTAGATTATACCTAGGCGAGATAGAGATTATAATCACTCAAATTGACAACATTTATGTTACAGTTATACCTCAAATAGTTAAAAATTTCTCTTACATATGTTCAAACCCCCTCCCTTAATAGTTAGACAAAAAATTGAAGGCCATTGGTAATTCCTCTAATCTCCTAGTTCAAAAATTATTTTGTTTACATTTATTCAGTAAGTATATTTGTAGCTGTATTAAAATTTCTTAGTAGACTTAACTATTTTTATGTATGTCAGGTGAATGTATACACTTTAGTTGCGGAATTGTGTCCCTACAAATAAAATGGCATGTGCTCAGTAGAATAATGGATAACCGAAACAAATCAATGAGAAAGTGACCATGCGGATCTGAATTCTGAAGTATTTTAATGAAATAATACGTTTATAATTTTTATTGTAAGCTATTGATTTAATTGTCTATAAGATATGATTCAACAAGGAGTGTTAAACAAAGCGGTCCTAAGGCTAAGATCAGTGGAACCCAAACATTTCTGGAGGAGGCTAAATTAAATCACAAGAAAAACTAAGTTTAAAATAATTTACTGAATATTAATCTTATTTTATACAAATCATGGTAAACGATTTATGTAATTTTTCGAATTATAGTTCTAATCAAACAGATATAATGAAAAACTACAAGAGAAAGTAGTGTATTTTTAAGAGTAGGGGATTTTTCATAAATTGGAAAACTAAGATAATGGTAGGGGAGAGGAAAATAATATATAAATCAATTTATTCTTAAAAACTCATATACAGTTTAAATTAGACTAACCTTATTGAATTATTACAAGAAAGAGACATTCAAACAATAAAAATGAAAATATATCAGGTGCGTATTTCTTAAATTTTTTTACAATAACTTTATACAAAATTATATTAAATTTATCTGCAAATATTTTTAAATTTTAAACTAATTACTTAATTTTGATTTTAATTCTCATTAAATAAGATGTAAAATTTACAAGGAAAATCAATAATTAACCTTAAATAATTAAAAATATTTAATTTCTCATGGATAAATATGAAGGTTTACTTCACTTTATTTACATATATATATATAAACATAACTTTTCTTATACCAAGAGTATAAATATATTTTTTGTAAAAAAAAAATTTTAATGACCAAAAAAGTGTTAAGATTCTATCTTAACATTTTTGGAGGTGCTATTTAGGTAAAAGTATTTCATCTCTTAGAAAAAATGAAGAAATACAGTTTATACATGTAGAATATATACATTAATTTAAGCAACTTGATTTTGATATAAAAATAATTACAGATATAAAAAATCATTAATTTGCTTATTGATTTACATTTTTAGGCGATGTTTGTTATATTTATAATTTCTATGTTCTCCACTGTATACTCCAGAACTCTTAAAAAACGTGAATTACAAGAAGTAGAAGACAATGAAGCCTTACATACATCCCATGGTAACTATGGTGGAGGTAGTCATGGACATGCCACTTCATACAACAATTATGTTTTGCACTCTTTCCACCCAACAAAATACAATGTACATAAAGATCATTAATTTCTAAACTTTCAATTCTCTAAATTTATCAATGAAATTATCATAAATACTTTTTTGTACGATTTCTTTTTCTAACGAGTTGTTAATTTACAGTAAAATAATTTTATAATAATACTTACACAGTAAAATTGAATAAATTTAGGAAAATTATGTTTTATTTAATGCTGTGAATTATTTTTTAATAATAAACTTATGTACAGATTAGAATTTCATAATGTATATCTGGAATTAAAATTAAGTTAAACTGAATAAATGGACTGCAGTTTTATTTTGTAACACAAATTAATTATAATATTTTATTAATAAATTTCTTACTTAAGATACACTATCAATTAGTATAAAATTAATTGAAATAAGGATAATTTTATAAATTCTGTACTTAAAAAAAAAAATGTCAGAATATAAACCCTTGACAAAAAATTATTTATAGAATTCATGTTCTGATTCATCTTTTTTGATATTATTCTTATATCCCTTCTCAAAATCTTTTGGTAGTACAATATAACGATTTTCTCGAACAGCATGCATTCCAGCCTGAAAACATATAATTTAAATCAGAAGTTGGTATAAAAAAAAATTATGTATATAATATAATTATAATAAATAAAAAAATATTTAAAATTACAAAAACAAAAAATACTAAAATGAAAAAAAGTATATAATAAAATATATATTATAAAATTTGAAAAACAGTTTAAATATAAGCATTCTATTTATTTTTATTTAAAAGCTTAAGGAGATTCTAATTATTTATTTGATAACACTTTTGTTTTTATCTACCTCCTGACAAATAGCATTTATATCAGCTCCAGAAATCCTGTCTGGTCTAGCAACATAGTCCTCCAAGTCAACTTCTTCACTGAGATTCATTTTAGCTGTTATAGTTGAAAATACTAAACGTTTTTGACGGCGATCAGGTAATGGAAATTCTATTTTTCTATCTAAACGACCAGGTCTTAACAAAGCTGGATCCAAAGTATCAGCACGATTTGTGGCCATTATAACTTTTACATTGGTAGTTTGATCGAATCCATCCATTTGATTTAGCAGTTCTAAAAGAATACGTTGAACTTCACGATCAGCTCCAGTTTGGGCATCAAAACGTTTGGTAGCAATAGCATCAATTTCATCAATGAATATAATAGCTGGAGAATTTTCTTTAGCTAAACGGAACACATCACGAACCATTCTTGGACCTTCTCCTAGGTATTTTTGAACAAATTCTGAACCAACAACACGAATGAATGCAGCTGAAAATACATATAATTTTATTAATTCATATTTATTGTGCTAGTAAATAAGAATTTTGGTTAAAATAGTTCTAAAATTTAAACTGTACTAAATTTTTAAAGGTGTTTAATTTTATTTCTTCCACCCTATTTAAACATTTTTTTTATAAAATATTTTCAAATTATTCCATCAATGGAGAGAGTGTTTTTAATTACTGAGCTGATTTTTTAATCATCACAATGATTATAATTATAGGTATAATTTTTGTTAATTTTAAGTGTATGTTTATGTCTTAAAATAAAATAAAATAAAATTATATACTTATAAACAAAAATTAGAATCCTAAGTTTTATGGTAAAACATCTAATATATTTTTTTTAACTTTAAAAAACTTGTAGAATGGAAAATTTTATGAGAAGTGCATATATAAAATAATAAAAATAAATAACATTAAATTAATTAAACACAATATAATATTTCTAAATTATCTAGTTTAAAAAGAATTAACATAATTTATATTTTATAATATTAGACAGCATTCTATGTTTTCATATACTATGGAATTGTAAAGTAAGTCTTTTCAAATAACTATGTGTTGTAACTTTAAAGAAAATAATCACTTAATGCATATTTTCTTTTATAATGCAACAAGGGGACTGCCTGGCATGGTGAATAGAAACATGTGTTTCGGCGCACGAGGTCCCAGGTTTGATCCCTAGGGTGTCACAAGATTTTTCTTGTGATTTTCTCATTAGTGGTGTCTGGTTTCTAGTACGAGCCAGCCATAATACCCGTCCTGTCCATCTTTGACTAATATGTGAAAGATAACCACCACCTTCTGTAACATGTTAAATTCTGGGAAATATAAGGATAAAAACTGATTATTTCATCATCATCTATAGAAGTCAATGCTTTATCGTTTGAGCCACTCGTCTCTATTTAATCCATTTTGTCTGTATCATTTTTTTCCATATCCATAATTTCAATGATTCAATGATGATTTTTTGTTAATTGTATATGTTTCACTGCCATATGAAAGCAAACTCCAAACAAATATTTTAACTAATCTTTTACGCGTGCCAATGCTCAGATGTTTATTGGTGAAAAACTGATTCTTGTTTTGGAATGCTTGCTTTGCCAATACTATTCTTCTTCTGATGACTGGTGTTGATTTATTATTGGAAGCTATGATACTTCATAGGTAGTAGAAATCTAAGACCTGTTGTGATTGTATATTGTTTATAAATGTTGTATATTAATATTTAGATGCAATATTGAGTGCATTTTACTTATAAGCATTGTTTTGGTTTTCATGGAATTTATTTTCATTTTAGTGCACTTATAGAATTTTTAGCATATTATTGTCATGTTTAGACTCTGCTAACAATGTTATCCACAAAACTAATACCAGTGTATATGCTAGCCATTTATTTTCACTCTTTTGGTCTTAGTTGTTAAATCTATGAAAAGATTGAATAGATAGGGTAACAAAGGGCACCCTTGTCTCACTCCTATTCTTATTCTTGCTTCTTTTACCAATCCATTTATATTTATTCCTGTTTTTTGATCCTTAATAAATTGAAGTTAAGCCATATATCTATCCAATCAATTCTTTTTTTTCTTAATATATTGAATAAAATTTTCCAATCCATTTTATTGAAAACGAACTTATCATTTATTTAATTTTTTTATCTTTTATATTGAAATAGTACATATCACAGTTTTCCTTAATTTCAGGATGATTAGAATACATATTTGAATTATATATACATTTTGATACAAAATATTATTTTATTTCAAAGCTATAAGACAATTATGAGTCTCACTAAAAATATGGGGGAAAAAATTGTTTAGAAACTTCTTTTATCATTGTTCATACAAATCTCATTTTGTCAAGTTTTGAAATAAGTGCTGTTATCGCTTATACTGCAGATAATAAAATAAGTATTGAAATGTTAAGTACATTAAAAAAGAAATTAATTGTCTAATTCATTATGTTTAAAAGTTATTTTGTTAGTTTAAATTGGATTGTATTGCAATTTATATATAGGAACATATATCAACTTGGTTTTGATCAAAGTATAATAAATTACTTTTTTTATAGGAGCTAATTAAAAAAAAATAAATAGTATATCAAAAATAATAATAATAATAATAAAATTGATTTATGGAAAATTTGCGCTGTCTACTAAATATTATTATATTATGATGTTAACTTTAAATTGGAACCGACCGACCAATAATATAGAAATAAAATGAATTTATTCTAATAAATATTACCAGTTGTATGATGAGCTACAGCTTTAGCTAACATTGTCTTGCCACAACCAGGGGGACCATACATTAATACACCCCTTGGTGGGTCAATACCAATTTGTTTGTACAATTCAAAGTGTGTTAAGGGAAGTTCCACAGCTTCTCGAATTTCTTGTTTTTGCATATCCATTCCACCTATATCTGAGTATTGAATATCAGGTTTCTCATCTATAATAATATACATAATCTTACAAATCAATGAAATCAATATTTTTTATTTTATATACCTGCTTGAAGCATAGATATAGAAGAGTCTGCTTCGGGTGGTAATACATCAACTAAAGCATTGCTGTGTTTATGTAAAGCAACACTGGCTGATGGTTTAAGTAACTCTCTATCAATAGTAGATAGTATGCGAACATAATAATTTGACCCAGTAGTACTACCTACAATACCGGTATTTTGATCCACAGCTTCTAAAAACTGTCCAATAACTAATGGTACACTTTGAATACGTTTCACTTCTTCTTGAGCATGTAAGTACTCCTTTTTCAAGTTACGCTGTTCATCTTTAATATATTCTTCTTGTACAGTTAAAAATTCAAGGTATCTTTGTAAGCGCTACAATAATAAAAGTAAAACAAAATAGATCTCTAGTTTAAAAGTTAAAATAATATGTACCTTATATCTGGAGTAATGATCTAAGCTATCTAAACAAGCTTCTACATTATTCAAATTTGGCATTGTTGGCTTAGAATCTTGACTATCATCCTATAAAATAATATTTGTAAATTTATCTTTAAACAGAAAAAAAATGATTAAAAACAACAAAATGTATCCAAGATAAAATTATTTTTAGTTTTAAATAATTTATATGGTGTATTTAATAACATTTTATAACTCATACCGAATACAATTCGATATGAGGTGTGCACAATGGACCAACAGGTCTGAATGCATGGGCTTTATGTTCAACCATCTCACTAATAACTAAAACTCAAAAAACTAATTACAATATACAGAAATAAATAAGAACATATCACATTCACCTTACACATTACAATCATATGCTAGCTATTAATGAAATTAATTTAAATTATATAAAAAAAAAAATTAACTATGACATGTAAGAACCGATAGTTTTAATAAAAGAAAAGTATAACACAACCAAATAATTTAATGGTCTACACAAACTCTTTATTCCACTAGAAGCATTACTTGAAATTTATCACGCAAATAAAATAGTTTTTCAACTCATATTATAGGTGTTTTTGTAAAAAGTTATGCATTAAAATATAAACGTAAAACTAATTATTAATAAGTAGTTTTAATTTTTAAATAAATATTGATAAAATAATGTTTAACACATACCCTTTCTGGCAAAACAATACCAATTTCTTCCATAATTAAAAGAATGTGTTAAATATAACGATATTAATATTAATTAATTAAAAAGTTTTTAAATATTACAGTTTAGATCAGTATTTTACTTTAAAATTTAAGCACTTAGTGAGTGAATACTATTATACTTCTATTGGACGTTATCAAAATGATTAATCACAATTCAAATGATAGCACTCACATAACCTAAAACATATTTCTCATTTACTTTGTCATCTTTCTAGTTATGTTGGCTACCGTGTATGCTATTCACATTAAACATATCATACCATTTTTAATATGAATTAAACTTTAGTTATCGAATGACTAGCATGTACTGTACGGTTGCTTAGAGTGTATGTAATCATGCCTTCCACTTTCATTGTATTTCACGTTGGTTGAAGACGAGATAAGTTTGTCCACTTGATAACAGAGAATAGGAATTCCAGAAATATAGTCATTAATATATATTAGACAAAGTCTACCTTAATTCTTTTTTTTTGAAATAAACATATTTAATGTATAGTATTAAAAATGATTGTTCATTTTTATATATTGGTTGAAGATCTATCATCATTAAATGTAGTAAAATTATTTGATGCTTTTTTTTCTTGAAATTTTCATTTCATTTTGATATTAATATTATTTTTAAATATATAGGAAAACTTATTTTCCTGTAAATAAAAAGAAATTATTACAAAAGAAAATTGAGTTTGTATAAAAATTCATATTGTGGGATCAGGCACGTAGACATGAGTGGGCCTGGCCCCCCTTAGATTTAATGTGGACCAGGGCCGGTCCCCCCAAATTTAAAATTCAATTATTTTTACGAATTATCAAAAACGTGCTAGGCTTTATACACATTGAAATTATTATTAATTTGTGATTTCTATTGAGTAATACAGTTATTATTATGGCTGTATTTTCATTTGTATATTCATAGAAAACGTTATTTGAAAAAGATAACGTTCTAGACGTAATAATAAATGGAATAGCAGTTACTCCAAACGTGGTTGTAGGTAAAAATTTTTTAACTCTGGTCCAACAAATGATAACAAATTACCAAGTATCTGCATTGATTAGAATCTTGTTGATTACAAAATTCGATAGAGTAATACTCTATGAAAATTTTTTTGATAAATCTTATCTTTAATCTGATTTTTTTTATAATTTAGTAGTTACAATAGGTAATTTATTTGTTTTTGTTAATTTGTTATTTGCGTGTTCTAAATAATAGTAATAAAAATATGACTAAGAAAAGGCCGGAATTGTTTTTAATTTTAAATAAAATAAATTTTACATTGTTTATAATTTATATTTATTTTAAAAATTTTTATAACTTATTTGTTATTAGTATTTAGGTATAAATTATTTTTTTTTAATAGCTTAAAAGTTGAAAAATTAAATCAGCTTATGTTCACATCATTATTTTATTAGCTTCGATGCGAAGCTGAGAAGGTATTGGTTTTACTATGATGTGTTTTTTTATTATATTTTTGTGTCTGTTACCACTTTTTCTCAGTCTCACCGAACCGATTTCAATGATACGTCAAAGATCACAAATCGTATCTAGTCGAAAACATTATCCTCAAAAATTGAAAAAATTTCCTTCGTTCCCCGTCAATGGGGGAAACCCCCCAAAAAATTACAAATTTATAAATCGCTAATTTTCGAAATATTTTCAATTTTTTTTACTTAAAATTGCCATAACTTTTTTATATAGATCCATGATATCGTTACTTTTCATTTGATATACTTTATCTTAATCAGGATATTAATAAAGAAATAGCAGATCATGTAACTTTTGGAATAATCTACCAATTTTTTAAAAATAAACACAAATTTTGAACTTGTAAGATTCATAGAATGGAATACTATATAAGGAGGAGTGGAGGGAGCCCCCCCACAAGTTTTTCATGGGAAACAAATTATGGAAAATGATACAAGGGCCCAAAGTTGTTGGCCCCTCCAATAAACATTTTCTGGCTACGTGCCTGTGTGAGATGTGTATTAATACTTATAGTGGATAAATCTATTTTTTATAGTTTATAGTTTATACGAAAATCTTATTTAAATATTAAGTATTTCCATTGTGTTTTGCAAAATATTGACTATGTTCCATTTTGAACTGATCATAACTAAACCTATAAAATTTTAGGTTCAAGTTACAAGTAATTGGAATTCCCAAGCACAATTATAGGATAGAGTAGTATTAAAGATAAAATAAAATAAGTTTAGTTACCCCTATTCAATATACCGCATCCATAAAAAATATAGAAAAGAAATTTTTACAGTTAAAATAGTATTTAAAAAATATACAAAAGTTGTGAAATTCTTTAAGAATCGTCATTTAGTAAAATTAAAATTAAGTTGTTAAGATATTAGATACACTTGTTAACTTAAAAATTTATAATTGGCTGTATATTATAATATTTGTATATTCACATAACATAAACATTAAATTATTTCAATTAAGATAAATTTATATTAAATTTGAATTTCTTTAACGAAATAATGTTACAAAGAAAAATAAGATTAAAAAAAATTAAAGAAAACAACAATTAAACATAGAAAAAGTAACAAAATGTTTGGTGGTATATTAATAAAAATTTCAATTTATAGTGAATATTAAGAAAATTAATATAAAATACAAAAATAAAAATTCAATCATAAAAATATTAAAAGAATAACTGGCCAGCAATAATTTCATTTTTGTGTCTTAATCTTATAAAAGGCATAAGATTTGCATTTATTGGTGTTGTATCTCCTCGAGACATTTTTTCTGCTAGCTCAACAGTAAATGGCCCACAATCGTGTCCATTGGTTTGGCGAGATGTCTCGCCTATTTGTAATGTCCATGTAGAAGCTTTTCCTTTTTTGTCCATTTCCCATTCAATTAAGAAATTTTTTAATACCATTGGATAAGGACCTTCATACGACTTAAGACTATCATATGATGTCACAGTCTTTTCAGGTACATTAACCACTGTCAATATCCAATGACTCCCATATATATTCATCGGCACAAAAAGTAATTTTATTGTGTGAATATCTTTTTTTATCCATCTTCTTACAGCTGGATAACCTCCTCGAAGATACGCTACAATAAAATCAGTGACAACTGCATAAACTTCACCTTTTGACCGTGTTACTATCATTTGAATGTACTCATTAATTGTGTCTGAAGTATACCAAGATGTAGGCGACTTAAATGAAGGTGCATTATACTGATCAAGAGATTTTGTGTTCTGATCTTGCATTACTTCTGCAAGTGTAACCATATTTAAACATTTTTCATAAAATTAATAAAAAACTTTGTTGAACAGTTTACTATTAGTTAGGTTTATTTAAGGTTTTAGAATATGAAATTAAACACATATAATTACTTTTGTTCAAAACCCATGGACGTTTTGAACAAAAGTAATACCCACTTAATAACACGACTCAGCAGAGGTTATATTAATTCAATATGTATTATTATTATTAATTATGTTTAATAAATAATCTTTTTTTATTTTATTTTGTATAAAATAAATAGATTAAATAATTAATTACCTTTTTCTTTCTCTGGTACTTTTATTACTTCAACAGTGGATAGAGCAAGTAAATTTACGTCATTCGGTGTATTTAAGGTCAAAGGATTAGAACTAACTTTCGGCTCTAAAATAATTTGTTTTAGAATATTACATATTTGTTTCAAAAATCAAAACGTTTATTATATTATTTTTTAAAAATTAATTATATTTTAAAAGTTCTATACTTTTTATGACTTTTTCATCTTCTTCGGATGAATTTCTTTTTAAATTTGGTTGAGCAGTAGTATAAGAAGATATCTTAAAGAGTTGCTTTTTTATTTCAGATTTTTTGCGTTGTAAGTTTTTCTTATGAAAACTCTTAACGGATCATAAAAATATATTTAATTATATGATAAATTTATTTAAAAATCTGCTTTAAGTCCAAAAAATGGTTTAGGATATACCCTAAAATCTTTTTATTGAAAAAATGCACGATAAAATATACCTTTCCTAACAAATCAGCTGGTATTAATAGCGGATTGTTTTTTGAAATTGCTATATTATTTTTTTCTATTGAATTTAAAATTTTATTTTTATATTTTTCAGATTTTTCATTCTTAATTAGTGTTCCGAATTCTCTTTGCTGTATCAATTTCTAGGCAACCAAAGAGATATTTAAATAAACAAATAAACTATAATTAATATTAAATTATTATCTTCGATAAAAATTGAATTTCCCATACAAATCTTATTGAAAAAATAGCAGTCCTGAATAATATTAAACATTATGTTATAACAATTATATTAAAGGGGTTGATAGTTTATTTTATATTTTTGAATCAGAGAAAGCCCAATTACATAGCTAATTCGAATACATTACAATTTTACAAAATTATAATTTATAGATTTGTTAATATATATTATTATAATTATAGTTACCAATTTTTCTGAAATAATTTTATCATTTTTATTTGTTTTTCGATACATGCGTTTTTTTGGAATAATGGAATTTGTTATAGGATAAATATTTTCGTTAATAATTGCTGCAAATTGAATATCATTTTAATAATTATTAATTAAATAATCAATTTCGAAAAAGTTTTTTAATATTAAAATAGTTAAATTAAAGTAAAGCGACTGAATTATTGTTACATATCAATAAGCGAACTTATTATTAATTTTTCTGATATTTTATATTAAAAAACTTTTTCTCTATTCGAAATAATTAGTTTAATTATTAATCTTAATAGTGTTTACAGATAATTCTTCCACCTTTAGTTGACTTTTTTGATATTTGTCCTTTATTTGGATTATTTAAAACACAATTGGAATGCATGAAACGACGATTCCATATTTCTTCAACTCTGCGTATGACCTTATGTAAATTTGTTTCATTTGTTTGACCAAAAATATTTTCTTCACTTGCCATATCAATAACTAATTAAATAAATCTTAATACTTACACAAGACGTTAGTTTATTTTTCACGAGAAAAAACGAAGTGAACTCAAATGTCGATAAAATCAACATTTACATCTAATTGTCAAAGAAACTTAATTGTAAAAATTCATTAAAAAAATGTATAAGCCAATTATAAATAAATTTAGTATACACAATACTTATTTATTTTTATTTTATTATTTGTCAAAGAATACAATGTGTCAAGCATTTATTACAGATAATTATCAATATATATATATATTTTTTTACGATTTTTCGAAGAAAAAACTTTCGTAATTGTTTGTTTATTTATTACATTAGTTTAGAAATGATACAGATTTTTTTATGAATAATTAAATAGAATAAATTTGATATCCGTTAACAGAATATTTATACATATAAAATTTAATCTTTATGAAATAAAATATCAACGTTTATTTATTCTCTTGCAACTATTAAAAATTTTACCCGTATGACATCGCTATTACCATTTAGTTATTAATAAAAAACATCATGCCATGCGATTATAATCAACATAAAAATTTATTAAGTTGAACATATAATATTGTTTATCAATTGAATTAATTACATAATAATTCTGAAAAAAGAAAATAACAGGAGATTTGAATTAAGTTTAACAACTTTAACAAATCGAAAATAACTTTAGGGTTTAATTATTATTTGCATTTTTAATTTTATTATTATTATTATTTTTTTTTTTTTGACAATAACGGCTATCTTTGTAACTTCAATATCTATTATATTGAAATTTTCAATCTAAATGTAATCTATCAGGATAAACTATTTTCGTAATGTACCTATCTGTTAGGCATTGTTATTAATTTAGCTTTGATCTTTTACGTGTGGAAATCGATGTCATACCTAATATGAAAAACGAGATGATGGTACTTCTACAGTAATTTTTTTTTTTTTTTAGTTTTAGGCAAGTGTCTTCAACAAATTTTTTCAGGGTTATTAAGGATAGTGATAATTCTCATGATTTTACAAATATTTAGTATGATATTTAAGTATAATAAACTTTTATTTGTATCATCTAAACGGTTTTATTTATTTTAGAACGGTATTAAATTAGTTATACAAACAAAGATTATTTATTGGCATTTTAATTTAACCTAACTTTGTTTAAAACATTTTGAATTATATTTTATATAAAAACTGTTTCAAAAATTGAATTTAAAACCTTATTTTTAAAAAAAATTTTTAAACTGCTTTAAATTATTTTAAAACGTTTTAGCGGTTTAACATAAACGTTATATATAATGATAATGGGATATATGAATTAGAATTATTATAAACTGTACAGGATTATACATATAGTTTTTATTCAAACCATATAAAATCCATATAAATTTCACATAATTTGTGGTTTTTTTACAATCATTACAACGGCGTAAAAAGATATATTAATAAGGCCATGTTATTATTTTATCACAGACCACATTTCATTTGGTTGCGATTCTTGGGATATGTGAAAACATATAAATAATTTTTATTAATTAATATAGATATAAAATATAAAATATAAATTAAAATAACTATAATATTAATAATTAATATGGAAGAAGTCTTTTTACTTCAAAAAACATTGATCTTAATATTAGAAAGAATCTACTAAAAACGTACATCTGGAGCATCATATTATATGGATGCGAAACATGAAATTTTGCAAGAGAAAATATGAGAAGAATAGAGGCATTCGAAATGTGGTGCTACAGGAGGATGGAAAAGATAAGTTGGACTGATAGAACTACTAATGAAGAAGTTTTAGGAAGGGTATCTGAGAAGAAATTAATATGTAAGAATATACAAAGAAGCGAAATGAATTAATAGATCATACTTTAAGGCACGATGGATTGCTGTTATTAATCTTTGAAGAAATAATCGATGGAAAAAATCATAGAGAAAGATCAAGATTGCAATACATAAATCAAATAATAGAAGAACAAGGATGTAATTCATATCAAGAGTATATTGTATAAGAGTATTAAATAGGAAGGCTAGTGATAGAGAAACATAGAAGTTGCTGCAAAACAATCATTAGATTGAATACTACGTAAGATGAAATTAAAATAATACAACGGCGTATAACATAGGCATCGAGTATAATGCAGAGAGCTTAACTTCTCCGTTTGCAATTTAGCCCCCCAAAAAATTGAATAAAATTATATACATTGTTATATAAAAATTATTTTTAGGGAAGGAAAAATTAAATTGAGCCCCCCTTAAAATACTGAGCACCTACTCTATGGTGTACATAGAGTGTAAATTTGACGTGTTCTATACAATGGCCACGAGGAACACGTTTTTTAAGTTCGGTTGGATTGAGTTTATAAAGTGTAACGCTAAAAAGGTAACGATCGAAAATGTTCACTCCTCCAGCGGAAATGCTCAGACGTAACTTAAGATGTTTTCACATGAAAAATTATACCGTTCCTTTTGTATTAGCCTTACTCGAGAATTTTATCAGTCACCTAAAGAATCATAGTAAAACTACAGATTAATGATTTAGAATCGTACTAGTCTCTAGTATCTATCTCTAGTCACTATCTCTAGTGTCTAGTCTCTAACTATATATTAAATTTCAGCCCCTCATTATAGCTGTACCTGGAATAGATTTTACGTTTTTTCTGCTTTAAAATTCCGATTTTTAGACTGCAGTTCCCACACAATCTCCTATCCGCTACCTTGTATTTCTACCTGATAATATGAAATTTTGTCAGGGAGTTCCATAAATTGTATAAATTACATGAATTTGATTATAGGAATAATTCTTAGGAAGCCGTACTTTTAATATACAGAAACTTATTAAACAAGATCTTTATTTGCGATATGCTGTGTATACAGCTATGTACCTAAAAATTCTGCCATCATTTTTGGTTTCAAACACTGGTCAAATCCCTCAATACCTTACCTCTTATTCACAAATATTTTGTTTAAAATCTATTTATGAAATGGGGAAATTTTCAATGAATGCTATGGGACATTAGCCACTTAGAAATTTCAATCAAACACATAAAGTTTAAATTATATTCAAACAATTCGACAAAATTTTAATAACTATATTCGAATTATAATAATCATAGACTGTAATATTTATTTAAAAAATCATTACAAATTTTGTAATAATTTTGATTATAAGTAATGTTTTAAAAAATAAAGCATTACGTTATGATACTAAATTAAGTTCAGAAATATTATAGACTTAATATGTTATCAAAATCGTTAAGAAGATATCGCCTCGCATCTAGCGATATGATTGGAAGTGTACTTTTGTCGCTATCCCACAAAGACGTTAGGTGCATTTAATTTATACCCGCATTTTATTTCAAAATTTTACTTAACACATTATACTATTATTGTCATTTTTATATATTATTCTATGCCGTTTCGCGTGTGTGTTACGGTACAACGTACAGAAATGTAAGTAGTGTATGAATTAATTTAAACCCCAAAGATACATTTCAATAATTAACAATTAGCAATGTAATATTTTTTACTTTCAGATTTGAATAATAAAAAATATTATAGCTGAAACCTGGGTTGGCCAGTTAATTAGCCGTGGCAAAGCAAAAAAAAAAAACTGCTTTGGTTCAACTATGCATTGATCATAATAGTTGTTACTTATTTCATATATGTAATTTTACACGATCTGTTTTATTTTTATTATCTGACGTATAAAAATTAATTTAAATTTAATAAAACAGGAAATAACATTATAGTTATGACGAATACTGGTCAGTCAATTGATACCAATCACTTAAAACTGTACTTATTGAACTTTTAAACCATAAGAATATGTCTTGGTGCGGTAATAATATAAAATAATTAATATATATATTAATATATAACATTAATTAATGTGTTTTGTAATGACTGCATTAGCTATCTCCGCAGTAAATAAATAAATAAATAATTAACTATTGCAATTACTATAAGACAATATAATCATGTACACATTTTAATAAATGAAGAAATGTTCCAGCGTAGTAATGTGGCCGTGACAGATGCAGAATCTAAAAAATAATTAAAACTGCATTACCATAATTATATCAAAAATTGAAAAATTATATTAATAATTATACAGTCGTTGTAAAATTGTCGTCAAACGCACACATTTTTTTGTTTTTTAACGAATAAATATGCTTTATATGTTTAATAATTCCGTTATCGATAAGAGCGTGCACTGTCGGTCGTTATTCAAACGCGTTCTTCCAGACACAGCAGACGCACAGTCTAAAAATTACAAAAATAAATTAATAGTGCCATTACCATAATAATAACAATATAGACAATAATTGTCTATATTTATTTTTAAATTATTTAAAAAACTACGTTAATCGTAATCGCTGTAAAATTAGAGTATAAACATTTTAAACATATTATACACAAATTCGAAAAAGTTCCTATGTTAGAAATACTCTTTTTATGAGTGAACAAACTGTTTAACTGAAATTAGTTTTACTTACAGACGGTAAGCTTACTGGTAGATATTCCTTCTAAATTTACGTAAAATCGTACCTTCAAGATATTAGTAATTCAACAGAAATGACGAATAGTATATATTGATTACAATAATAAGAATTAGTTCATTAATCTTCAAATTCAAATATTTAATTTTATTTTTTGAGATACTACTAAAAAACTTGATAACACTATATTTTGTGTTGTTTTTTTATATAAGTTCATTTTTAAGTTTCCCCCATGGCCTGACCAGTCATCGAGCGCGTCCTCAAGGCTGCGAAAGGGGAACGTCCTGTAGATATGCAGGACAGCCACGAAATAAGCTGTCACCAATTATTGGTTCGGACGAATAAGTGTTCGTAGACAAAGGCAATATTGGCTCGTTCAACTACCGACATCTTGGAGGATCTGGACTATGAATCCGTCTGTTTATGGTGAAGCACTTAACTGAATGATTTTTGATACAGCGTGGTGATCGAACAAAAAACAATAGATATGTATAGAATATGAAGGAAACGATGAAAAAAAAAAAACCTTACAGGAGGTATTAAAAGTATTTGAAATATTTATCATGAAAAGTAGTTCTAAAACTTTAAAATTCCATGATGCTTTCCTACTGACAGAGGTCGGACTTCATGAGATTGTTTGGCGAAACTGACGAATTAGTGAACAGCGTGCCGTCCAGACGCTCGTTAACCCTGTAGATATACAGGATAGCCGTGATTTAAGCCTTTACGGACAAATAAGCGGTAACGTTTGGATCTTTAATGGTTACACAACCAGTGAAGTTAGCCGCTCACTGGCCGAAGGGATAAACGATACACATAATTCAATAAATATGATCGAGGCGTTAAATTGGATCCAGAGAGTTTTTACTCGATTTGACCAGACATATTAAGTTACCATATCGCCCAACGTTGCAAGGGAAAAGTTTCGATGGGCCCTTTTTGTGGAGCTGGTGGAAATATTATTCAGCTAGCCAGGTTCTACACCAAATGTAAACATAATAATTTTATTTTTGTATCCAATAATAAACGACATAATTTAAGTACTCATATAGCATATGTTAATTTTAAAGGTTTATTTATGCCAGAAAAAATATATTTATTTGACATAAATACCAAAAAGTTGTTCTTAAGCAACATTCTTTTGTTGATTAAGAACTGTGCTGGTAGGTATCTGAATACATTTCAGTAATAAATTTGTATTGCTTTAATCAGTCTATATAGTGTCGAGTATCATTTCACTAAAATAACAGTGAACTGAGTATTTTTTATGATTGTTGCAACTCGTGAATTACAAAATTGACGTGCATGTTGAATTTTGATTTTTCAGTCATAGCGATCGACAAAAATCCCCAAAAAATTAGGCTGGCAATGCACAATTCAAAAATATACGGCGTGGAGAAACATTGAATTTATAGTAGGCGATTTTTTTTAATTGGCTAATCAACTTAAAGCAGAGGTTGTTGTCATGTCACCCCCTAGGGGCGGTCCTAATTATTCAAAAAATAAAAAATACACTTTGAAGGACATGAGTCAAGAGCAGGGACATGACGGCTTTAACATTTTTGGATTGGCCCGAAAAGTTACTCCTAATGTTGTTTTTCACTTGCAAAGAAATATTTACCTTTCAGAAGTATGTTCGTTGACACAACATGTTTATTTTTAACTGAATTTTGTATTTTTATTTTTTAGTGGCAGTCTTTATCCAAGACTTTCAATGACAAATTACAAGTTGAACAAAATTTCATAAATAATAAATTGGATTCAGTAACGGCATTCTTCAGAGATTTTTATTGATACTTCACAAGACGCCAATTAAAATGTTTTAAGTATTATTTTTTTTAAATATTCATTTTTAATTTAAATATTAGTTCTCAACTAATTTAAGTTTTTTGAATATCTTTTATCTTATTTTTATTTTCCTATTGTAATGTTATCTTTTTTAGTCGTTATGATTTTTTTTATTAAATTTAATTTAATTAATAAATTTTGTATAATCGGAATACATATTTTTTTCCTTTTATATGTATTGTCATATGAATATGTCAACAATGTTCTTTAGTCAAAAAAGTGAATTTACCATTATGCAATTTAAAACATTATTTTATTCCGATATATGTCATAAATAAATAAATATACACTTTCAAAATATAACTTCAACAATTTTAAAAAAGAGTACCTATTAATTTAAGTAATTTAAAATTATTTTATATCAAAATAACTAACGTTTTAATTAAAACTTGTGATGGATCCTTTAAGCTTATATACTCCATTCTGTATTCCAATTTCCAATTAATTATTTTCAACTTTGTTTATCCATCTTTGTATTGGTCTTTAAGTGGTCTCTTTTCTTAGTTACACTTTCCATTAGAATTTTAGATTTCCATACTTATCTAGTCCATTCATTTATGCACTCGTAGACTATGTTAAAGTTATATTTTTTTATATCTTTTTAATAATAAAATCATAAATTATTATTATTATTTTTTTAATTTCAAAATAATCATATATAGAGCTTTTCTTATAAAATATTTAATGGGTCAAGATCAATATATGGAAGGGTACTTAAGTACAGGTATCAACGAGTAAACTAATTAAAAATTATTTCTTTATATTTATTAATTATAATGCTATCTATACTCAAATGTTTTAAAAACACTTGTGTTTTACTGTACGCTTTTATAGATAGCGTTCTATTGTTGAAATATTTTTTTTTTGAAATCGCCCAAGTGTTTATGAAGCTACATATGCATGTACTTTATCGGAGGTGTCGTTTCATTTTTTTAATACGCATAATATAAAGAAGTCACTCTGTATTTAAAGTCATGTGAAAGAAAGGTGATGAAGGAAAAATTGTCGAGGACAATGACTTATAGTATTTTATTTCCTTATTGTGTAATGATTAAAAAAAATTATATTTAAATAAATAACTGATACTTGCAGTTATCTAGTGATAAAAATAGTAAAAGCTTTAATGAAATTAATTTATAAATAATAATATCAGTAAAAATAATTTTTTTTGGTCAACTAAAAGTTGATTTGAGTAGTATTATAAAGGTTGCAAGAAATGAGTATGAGTTAAATACTACTTTGATATCTGTTGAATTGTGAAAAGAGGACGCAATTACACATTACATTTTTTAGTGCTATAAAAATGGACTGTACAACTATATTTTTTAATTGTATCCTATTCAACTATATGGAAATAAAATAAAATAGTGAAACGTCGCGCGTATACATACGAAGGCTAATTACTTAACGACAGTATGCTCGGGCAATGCACATTAATATTTGATTATATCATTTAATATAGAAGACAAGTCACATACATATAGAGACAATTTTTTTAAACTAATAATCTGTACCAAAAGCTTAACTTTAACGGAGTATTTTTGAAACATTTTCAAAAATGAATTTGAAAAGATTATTTTTTGATGCAAAAGTTACTATTTTGAATCCCCATCATTGGTCAAATAAAGTGTCATATTTCCAAAAAATTAAGTACCTAATAAATGGTCATTTTTGGGATAAGTATAATTTATGAAATTATAATAGTGATTAAGAAGTCTAATAAGTAGAAACATATGTTTCGGCGCATGGGGTCTCGAGTTCGATCCCCAAAGTGCCAAGATCCATCTTGGACTCCTTAACATGTGAAAAAGGTCCAACACCCTCTGTAGAGAGAAGTGGATCCTCTAAAAATAAATTATGTTGATAGCTCTTAAATACAAATTTTTAATGATTTATTTAAATAAAAAGTGATTTTCTTAACATTAACAAACTAATAAAAATGAACTGTTTTCTTTAAATTCTTTTTGTTACTTGTTTTTCTCAATTTATCAATTATAAAGTGTTTTCAAGTTCATTTCTGATACAGAGTGTTCAGTATGTAAGGAAACAGGTAAATTGTTATAGACAATGAGAAAAATAGAAACACGATTCATTACGTAGTGAACACTATATAATTTACATTATAGAGTGTTATATACTATATATTTATCGAGCTTATGAAATACAAAATGAGACAAATACAAAAATAAATCTGTAGATAGTGTTTAATATGTGTAAAAATAGTCAGTGGAAATATTCTTCATTCAACTTTGAATCTTTAAAAGTTGATTTTTGTAAAAGTTTATAATAAAAAAGTTGAATTTGTTATCATAACTTTTAGTTTAACTTGCAAGTTTGAAATTTTCATCAGGTAAAGGGTCAAATATTCATAAAAATATATCAAATGATAGGTAAATACCTAAGGTATATATATAAAAAATTATATTGATTTGTTCATTTTTAAAAAAGTTATGGAAGTTTTAAGAAAAAATATTGTAAAAATTTCAAAAATTACTGATTCCTAAAATTGTAATTTGTTAGGGGATTTCTTCCATTTACGGGGAGCGAGGGAATTTTTTCAATTTTGTTTATTTTACTTACTGTGAAATAATATACATTGATAAATATTTTTTAACGATAGCTTATTCATCTAAAATTATACGTGATAATTGATCTACACATCTAGATGGAAACACTTGGTGCACGTGTCCCAAGAGGGTGGTTTTTAAGGCCGCATTAAAATATGAAGTAATATAAATTATAGAGTTGAACACCTTCTTTGTTTGGATTTGCTCATTCAAACAAAAAAAAATTTTTTGATGACCAAAATTAATAAGGATGGAAGAATTGAGTACACTGGGAATTGCAACTCCTAAATACGACTCTGTACACATATATTCCAAGAGAAAAATATTTTCTCGATTATGTAATTAATGTTTTTAAAATCAACGCAAATAATGAAAACGTACATAATGTCAGCGAAGAGATTGTTATGCAACTGAATTATTATTACTCTTTTTGTTATCTTTTACTGTTTAATTAAACTATAGTTTTTTTCAAATATTGTGTTTTAATTATTTACCCGGAATTGTATGCATATGTAAATTTTATTTAAGACACTTTGAAGGGTCCCAAATTTGTGTCTCTTTGACGTAGGATTATATAGGGCATAGAAATAGGTTTTGTTTTAGAGGATATTAACCCTCCAATTACCTCAAAACTATAATCTGGGTAACAACACATTTCTAAGTTTTTAAATCTATTGATATTATTTTGTTCGGAATAACTTAACAAAAATTTTTTAATTCACATATTCCAGCTTCTAAATATGAGTATTCTTTTTAAATAAATAAATGTAGCATTTTTTTAAATTGAATAATTTACACCTTCTTAAGTATATTCAGGTTTTAACAATTCAAAAATTTAAAAATTAGGTTCCATTTTGAAGTTACTCCATTTTAATGTATAACTATAGTTAGTGCGTATATATAGAGCGTATAGATAGTGTCTTGTGTACACTTAATGGTCTGAAGGTCTCAACTTACTAACAAAATCATAAAATACATTTAAGACATTTACCCTGAGTCAAACCTTACCATAAAATTTATGTGGTTACCTTTCGATTGACGAATAAATGGACAAAGAAGCTTGCACAGCCATTACTTTTCCAACTAAAATACTCTTCAAAAATTCGTGCGAACACTTAACTCTAACAAGCTAAAACAGATAAATTCTATTTAGAAATGGTACTCACCCGTCAACACTACCAGGTCTGAAAAAGAATGATTATTTGATCAAGTTTTGGATGCACCTTTCTGGTTCACTTATATCTTATTCCAAAAATGCACAACCAATTGTGAAATTTGTTCCCTATTAAAAATACCGTTACTGTCTGTTCAAAATATTTAAGAGTCAAAAACTCTTAGAAATCACTCTGCCGAATAAGCACTTAAAGAAAAAATTATAAATGTCATTTGACAGTTATTAGAAACATAGATTTAGCTAATTAATTGTAAAAAATAAATACCTTAGATATTGTAAAAATAGCATTACAAATTTATAAAATACAGAAAATATCAGAATAGTGATCATTAAAGTACTTTAAAGAAATAAATAAAAAAAAACTGCTTGATGAAAAAATGTTTATTATGTTCAAGCGAAAAATAATAATTTGTTTATATACGATAAAACGAAACTTGAATTATTAAGAATACTTTCAGATATATTTTTTATATATATAAATCTTTTATTGTAGAGTTCATTACAAAGCAACAGTTACTTGTCTGAAGTTGGAACTATACTGTGAGCTTAACTTGTTTTCTTCTCTTTCTTATCATTTTTTGTTTTTTTTTCACCTTATCATTTTTTTTATTGTTGTTTTTATCATTTTTGTTGCTGTTATTTATAAAAAAAACTGATAAAAAATTATTTATATCTATTTATTATTCAACATTTTAACCATTTGATTCTTGATCTTTCTTTAACTTCACTCTTACTCAGACAAGAATTCTTCTACGTCTCACAACCCGTGTGCAATTATACAATACATTAACTCAAAAAGTAATGTCATAAAATTGATTACGAACCAGTCAACATATTATTTAGATCATTTCTCATTTAATAATAAAAATTGTTTATAGATTTCCAATTAACTTTGAAAAGTTATCCCTAAAATCATCAATTAGAAATAATTTTTATCTTACAATAGACTTAATATTTACTATGTTTCATAAAAATAAATCAAATGAAAATGTTTACACTTTTATGAAAAAATTATTATTTAATGGAAAAATTAGGAGTACTATTTTTAATAAATCAACCAAAAATCAAAATATAATAACTTTATTTTATCATGCTGTAGATAAAAAAGGGTAATAAATGATTATTAATTCAAGTATTACACTTGAAATACTTAAATTGAATTTTTAATTAGGTACAAAAATAGTAAAGTTTTAATTATTTTTAGTTCTAAAGTGGCCAAGTTTCTAAATAGAGATTATTATGATCTTCAATAAGTTTATGTCTTATATTTTTGCTTATCTATTCGTAATACTGTTCGTTGAACACACGTTATTTACTTTTAATGTACGACAACAGATATAAATATTTTTTATTTTAATAATATCAAAAACAAATATTATTCAATTTATTATTCTTATTTACATTAATAACCATTTTAATATAACAGTTCAAATTAAATATGTATGATTACTAAAAAAAAATAAGTACCTTTTTGTTAATATTTTATACAATTCTAGGATGACATTTTATTTCATTAGATAATATTAATCAATTTTAATTTATTTAAAAACATTATATTAAACAAAAAAATACAAGAACATTGTTAAAACTAATTTGATGAAATAAAAACTAATTAATAAATTTTCAGTATGTAAACTTACTGAAAATGTATTAAGTATTTTATAAAATATTCGACAACATAATTAGAAAAGAACTTAATTAAAAATAAATGTTTTGTATAACACACTCCTATTATTATTATTATTCATAATATGTGTTAATTATAACCAACTATAGTAGTAAAAGGAAAAAAATAATAGTTAAAAAATTATATTGTTAAAAGAATGTACTTCAAAACTGTTACCAAATGAGATTTTATTTTATACTTAATCGTTATTCATTTTTATGCTATTCCTTTGATGATTCATACAAAAAACTAATTTCCTCGTGAATATAAAAAGAAAAATTCTTGTAATTGAAATATTTAACAGCGTAAGATGATGTAAGGAAAAATTGTTTTATTGCATAAAATCATAAATATAAAAATAATTTATCGATTAATTTTTACGTTAAATATTTTTTCCAATAATAAAACCAATTTAAATAAAAACCCAACACAGGGATGTTGCGGCACAGTGGGGACGTGGTATAGTTGGATCCAGTATAGATCATATCTGACAGTAATAAAAAATCACTAATAAAAAAAACCCTTCGATGAAAATCTGTAGTCTTTAATTTTAAAATATTGGTTGATTATTCTAAAAGAAAAATTAACTCCTATTTCTATCATTATACTTAATTATTAATTTAATTATAAGTATAATTTATGAATAAATAACTATTAAAGCAATTCAACGTAGTATGAAATTGATGTTTAATAATTGGAATATTTTTGGAGAATTTATAAAAAATTATAAAGTAGTTATTATTTTTATGACAAACGTGTATAAAAATTGAAGAACTTGACACAGAACTATTTTGATAATAGTTTGTTATTAATTATAAATAAATCATCTGCAAAAAATTTTCATCAGAGTAAAAAAGATACTTTTATTATTCAATTTTTGTGCTAATTTAAATCAGCAATTATATGCTTTCCATCAAGAAAATTTTTTGATATTATTACTAATTAGTTAAAAACTATAGGATATAACTATAAGGAAAATAGTTCTTAAAATTTCAATTGTATCATTTATTTAAACACCAAGAATTACATAGAATTTATAAATAGTTTTCTTGAAATGATTTATTACAATAAAAAAAATATTTGAAAACACAAAAAAAAAAATGTTTTCTAATTATTACAATTTGATTTTTAATATTTCAAAAATAATCAGTGCAAAATATATTTTTAACTTATTTATTTGGCATTTTAAAGTTTTTAATAAAAAAATGTTGAATATGTTGCCATAAATTTAAACTCAACTTCAAGTTTGAAATTTACATTATTAAATAGAAAATTTTATGAGAATAAAAATATAGTATTGTTAAAATTAATATACCGTCAGGAAATTGTATAATTACTATTTAATGTAAATTTATCAAAAAAGCTCAATATTTTTTTTTAATTTTTATTGTAATAGATTTAATGATTTACTTCATCTATAAAAACCAATCAAAATGTTGTTAAAAAATCAACTTAAATTAACGTATCATTGTGAAGTCCGAAATTTGTTTTCCATAATAAAGTACATAAATTAGCTATAGGCAGTTTTAAGTAAAAAAAATTGAAAAAATATCGAAAGTTAGTTTTTTTTAAATATGTAATATTTTTGGAGATTTCCCTCCATTACGGGGAAAGAAGGAAATTTTTATAATTTTTGAGGGTAATGTCTTCGACTAAATACAATTTGTGATCTTATGAGGTATCGTTGAAAAAATCGGTTCGGTGAGAGCTGAGAAAATGTGGTAACACACACAAAAAAATAAAACACATCATAGTAAAATTAATATCTTCTCAGCTTCGCATCGAAGCTTAATTAAACTTTTTAATTTTTTTATTATTAGCAATGTCTTTATTATATAATTGACCCAAATTTATACCATGTAACAAATTTAACTATAAGATTATAGTTCAAAGACTTAAGTCAGTAAAAATGAATTTTCCGTGGATGTAGATTACTATAAAATTTATTCATGAATGCATTAATGTATTTCAAATATTCCTATATGTATACTTAATTAATAATTATATGAAAATATCGATTTTTCTACAAATTTTTACAAGAAGATAAATAAAACTTAAAATGAATTTTAAAAAGAATATTACAATAACATTCATATTAATTATAAAACATTACTCACAAATTGATGAATGTTTATTGTGCAATAAAATAAAACATAATTATAATTTATTTTGTACTTCAATATAAAATGATTTATAATAAGAGTTAATTGAATTCCATACAACTTTTGAATAAAATAAAATTATCACAAAAATATCAATATTATTATTTTTAACTATTGCCATTCTTAATAAGAATATTAAAAGGTGCAATGTCCATGTATTTTGAAGACAATTTTTTTATATAAATTTAATGTTTATCTCTAGTATATATTAATGAAATTTTTATTTTTATACGGTCTAACAAATAAGAACAAACAATAAAATTATTTAAAAGTTTATATAAACATGATACAATGTTATTATTTCAATGAAAACGTTAAAAATAAAATGTAGAGAGCTGCTGCTAAACACAGGCAACCTGAAAGTCTATAGTAATAAAATTAAACTTCTAAATAATATAATGACTCGTGGAATAAATAGACGAATCAATGACGTCTTTAAAATATTTTACCAAGTATTGAAATTGTAAAATTTTTTTAATTGTATATAAGTAAACATTTTATTTTTTATTTATTTTATTTTATATTATGACTTATAATGGGTAAAAGTTCAAATCTAAAAGATATATATATATTGTGAAACGTATAGCTGATGTTTTTCACTGTCTCTATTGTTCTTCCACACTAAATATTCGTTTATGATAGTATGCACGAATAAGAAAATCAACCACCAAGTAATTTTATAAAGAGGCGCATGTGTTCAGTCATAGCAAAACCAGCCGCTGTGGGCTTTCGAATATCAGTAACCGTCAGGGTGTTATAACGAAAAGGTGCACAGTTAACCCGCTATAGTTAAGGCCGCTGTCGTAAAGTTCGTAGTGGAATAAAGTTACTAGGTATTTATTTTCCTATCAGTTTTTTATTTGCATCGTTAAGAATATATCATTGGATTTCCATTTTATCAAGTAAGCTCATCATGTTTTTTACTTATTTAAAATAGTAAAGGAATACACAACCACTGTATAAAAATATACGTTTTAAATTTACTTTATGCTAATTTCATGTGCACAATATGAAAAACTGAATGCATTTCAATTTGACCAATTCATCGAAAAACTTCTAACACTATAATGTCAAAAATTTAATAGCAATATTATAATATTTCCATTAAATTTATTACAAAATTACGATAGAATATTATTTTTATAGAATTTATAAATTAGAAAAAAACATATTTAAAATGCAATCTATAATGTCTTACATATTAGTTTTCTTGTAAATAGTTAATATGCACAATGTTATATTATATTAATTATATACTGTGTAATTTTAGACAGAAGTTATACTATCTAATTTACGTATGCAATTACACTTACGAGGTTTTTGGACTAAGGTACTCTCACTAACGAGAACATTTTTTTTTAGTCCTCTTCATTTGTTCAATCTATAATAAGAAAACAAGGGCGTACAGTCACGTAAAACCCATTTAATTCCAATAGGGTTTTTAAAGCACAAACAAAAGTTATAAATACATGATTATACAAACCTTGTTTAAAATATTAAAAAAAAATAGCCCTTATCTAGAGTATTGAATGAGTCAAAGTAAGATTGTCAAGACAATAAAATATTTCGTTGAAAAATTTTTAATAATATTAAAAAATATCTGCTCTATACACGATTAAATAAGTTATTTAAATATATAAAATGCATTTTTTCCCTAAAACTTAACCATTTTTTTTTGTATAAGCAGTGTTTTTAAATTATTTAATAAAACTATTAAAAAAAATAAAACATTGTTGAATCGTCTATTGGTGTTTAATAAAAAAACTTAAAAACACAAATAATTTGTTGACTTCTAATGATTAAGAAGGTAAAGCCTACAAATAATTTCAAATTATTTATCTGACAGAGATAAAATGTTCAACGTATCCAAAAGATAGGTATGTACAGTAATAATTCAGTCAATGGTGAATTCACAGATCCGTGAATANCAAAATAAAATGTTCAACGTATCCAAAAGATAGGTATGTACAGTAATAATTCAGTCAATGGTGAATTCACAGATCCGTGAATACATCACTCGAGTAGGTCAATTTATTTTTATGTCCTAGTGTTTTCTAACAGCATTGTTGAAGCATATTGTAAAATCATTGAATATATTGTTGTTTCGGTTAAAACAAGTTTTGTTTTATCTTATTGCTTTTGTAAAAAAGTGTTGATATCAAATTTATAGAAAAATATGTTTTTAAGGAGAAACTAATAAACGCAGAAAAATAGACGTAGAAAAGTATGATTTACAGATAATTAACATCATAATTTTCTGTAATTCATAAGTGCACATTACAAATGTACATAAAAATCAATTAGTAATTAAATTTAGCCGCGTAAAAACTCATCGAGAGGATAATCCCAGTGGCTTTTAAATCTTCTAATAAACAAAAATATAATTTAAACAGTGCTACTTTATTGGTTAACCGTAAATATCTGTGTGTGTTTGAATGAAATTAAAAAAAAAAAAAATCATAATAGACCATTGATGAATTTTTTTCTGAACATACTAATAGCTGATGAAATTATATAGCGGCTTGATCCAAACGAAAATTTTATTGTTCTAAAATTACAAATTTTGGAATCATACCAAACATCTGAGGTGCATAAAAATTGATTAAAAATACTTTTATTATTGTTATTTCCGTTGAATTATAAAATTTAAATGTTTAATGCTGTATGATTACAATTTATTATACATTTACCATTTTGAGAATAAGAAAAGAGTTATTTTATTTACTATTAACACGAAAAAGTTATTTATTAATAGTCATTTTTCATTAAATGGTCTCAAAGTCGATACCTACTCTGGAATTTAACGTTTAGATGGTTGCATCTTTATATTCACTGTGTTATCTAAATATAAAATATAACATTTAATTTCAAATGTGCGTATCTCCTTGTTGGTAAAAGTATAAACTTTTCTTTAGTTGAGGTCATCATTATAGCGCTTGTTCTTGAAAAACTAGAGAGAAAAAATCAATTTTCTCGGTGAGAAAATATTATGTTTTTGGTAAAATCGTTACAACATCTGTACGGGAACATGTTTTTAACACGCTTTAAACGACTGCGATAAATCTAAACGGTAAGCCGATACATAACATGTATTACGGACAAAATCGTACATGTGCCACCGCTGTCGTCGAACCTAATCCGTCAAACAGACATAAGCGACTGAGAATACGGGCCATTGTTATATTTAATAAACTTCTAGGGTCTTATCGATTTTATTCATTTTAAGCAAACCGCATTGAGCCGACTCGAATAACACACGTGAAATCAAATTATAAATAGCTCGTATTGTGTCGCGCAGTAAATTATGGTAATTTCATCACTGGATTGCTTGAAAAGCATACGATGATAATCGCTAACGAAAATTTGAACACGTCGCTGGCAATTAATCGCTAAAGAACGTTATCTTATGCAGATTCTTGAAAACGCAGTTGGACGTGATAATGAAAATTTGATAAGACGCAACGTGTAAATGCTACTTGATGACATAAATCTATTACCGTGTTTTAGTCTGAAATACTTAAGAGTATTCCATTAAAACTATTCTTAGATGCCGTAGCTAGGAAATTCCAGGAAACACTCAAGATAAGTGCATAGATAATGACTGGCATATTATAACTCATCATAGTACTTAGTTTGTTTATTGCGGAGACGGTTAAAAGTAAGTGGACACTTTTCGATGTGACCAGACACGAAACGTGAATAGCAAGTCGATTGTAATACTTTATCGTAGACAATATAAAATTAACATAGTTTTATTAAGAAAATTTTTCTTTCTGTAAAATTGTCATATCATCAGTTGTATCTGATTACTATGGTCAAAATAACGAACATTGTAATTAAACTTTTACCGAAGAATAGAAAAGTTGGATAATCGCTTGTCCTTATTACATCGATTTAATGCTTTTGGCGTTGTAGTACTAAGTAGTCTGCCAAATACAGTTTTCGGACAAGAACTTTAGACTGCCAGATATTAGGGTGTGAAAATGGAGAATATATATATATATATTCTGATTGTTGTAATGGCGGTAGAAGTTGTTGAATTGATCGCGAAAGAGTAGCCACTCGATGATCGATTGCCTACGCTCTCTGTAAACGCACCGATGGCGACCTAAACAAAATTGTTTGACTTCTTAATAGCTATTGCTCATGTAATTTGACCTCCTAAAAGTGACCACTTGCAGGGTACTGATGTAATGGGTCCTCCAGTCCTGTAAACAAACAAAAGCTGTTGATTTATGTATCACGGAATATATTTCATCGAAATATTCAACCCAGTCAACTCTTTTAATTTCCTTCTTTTTTTTTAAAGTAAGAGTTCGAAAAGAAATAAGAATGAATATTAAAAAGATATCATTTTAGCTCTACAGGAAATAGTTACAGTCAGATTTTTGATACCAATCAGATATCAGATAAAAAAAATTTCTAATTACATTGTTTTTACACTTAATCCCTATTCGAAAACTTTTAGTTTAATAAATTTAATAATAAAATATCAACAAGATTTGTTAACTAGATGTAGGTTCTGACGATAAACAATTAATTATAACGTACATTTCTAGAATTTTATATAATGATATTAATTTTTATATAGATTTCCTCTAAACAAACTTTTGCTTTTACTTGATTTTGTCATGAGAACATACTTTTAAAGATTTTAATTTTAATTTTTATTGTAATGCATGTGTTATTAATATCAAATCTCATATAATACACAAATATCAAAACAGAACTTTTAATATGTACCGTGTTCTAGTTTAGAAACAACTAATTAACATATTTTGATTATTTTAAACATTTTATTGTAAATGTATTGGATTTACAAAATGGAACAGATCTAAATAACAACTCATATAACCTATGATCTACGTAACATTTTATAATTTTTTTTAATCAATTCTTACATTATAGAACTACACTTAAAATATGTTTTATGTTATTTTTCGCAATTACAAAAAATAATTTTTATAACATTTATACAAATATTTTATAAAAATAAACTAATATAATTATGAGAAAATTAAAATACTTAATATAGTATTTTTTCAATAAACATTCAATTATATAGTGATGTTAAGATGTTGGTACATTTTGGTTTTTGGCTCTTACATAAAATTGGCGTACATCCTTACTGACCTTTCATTTGTCTCCCAGTGAGATCACATGGTTCAATTGCCAAAGTTTTAATGGTCGCTATCTTGGGATTTTTCGAACAACCGAATTTACCAATTAATGCGTTTGTGGCAAAGAATATAGATTAATAGTTATTCGAAAACAGTGTTCAATTAATTTCATTGATTGTCTTATTTATTTACTTCAAGTATTAGTCGAAATTGCAAGTTGTGTAACTTTTATAAACTAAAATATAAAACTCAATAAACTTTATAAATAATGGTTATTTAAATCAGCTAAACAACATAAATACTCAGCAGTGGGCACAAAGATAAATTGTAATTACAATTTGTTTTGAACGTTATCACTACTAATAGATCATGAAAACAACTATAATAGTTTATTGAATTAACTTATGCTATCCATTCGATATTTTTGGTGGTGGTTTCTTTTGGAAATTTATATTTGGTAAAATAGATTGATTATTAATGAATAGGTATTAGAGTAACACTTGGCATATTAAATATTAAACAAATTTTTAATGTTCATTATATAATTTTCTTCGATTTTTCAATGAATATTGAATTTAATGGTAAATAAGATAAATACACACAATTTTTTTCATTTTATAACTAACTGATTTATTTCGTAAGATACACGAATCTACATACTTTTGAGTATATGTTCTCTATAAATATTACTAACTATACATTTTTGAAAGATAAAATATTTGTGTTGTATACTTAAAACGGTGATCATTTATATTATTTACAAAAAAAGAATTTAATTATTC